AATAAATTAATTTTATAATTAAAAAATTAAAATAAATTTTTTATTTAATTATTTAATATATATTATAATTTTAATAAAAAATAAATATATGTTTTTAAACGAAATTAATATGTTTTAAAAGTAAATAAATATATGTTTTTAAACGAAATAAATAAAAGATTATTTTTAATATATAACGTTAAATTTAAATTATTTATCGTTTAAATTTAACGCGTTATAAATAATATAAATTAAAAAATATTATAATTTTTTATAATTTATAACGCCTTTTAATATTATAACTTTTATAAATAATAAAATATAATATTAATAATTAAAGCTTATTATATATTTATATAATATACATTATAATATATAAAATGAATTGGCGGGTTGGCGGATTCGGTACTATCGTCCGCCGTCAGGGGTCCAGTGTAAGATCCCGATTGGATATGAACGTGTCTTAGTGCCGACGTATGCGAGCAGGGTTATGCTCTAGATGTCAAATAGCCTTTTACTTCCGCTTTCAGAAGAATGATCGTTATATCATCTAACCTCTACCATTAGGACAAATGGCGACGATTGCAGAGAGTGATAATATATTCTACGAACGCGATAAAAATTATGAGTTTCCAGATAATACACCCTAAGGTTTAACCTAAGCCTTTTTTATACTTCATCTAAAAGTCGTACCGTTTGATGATGATCCCGAATGACGGTGTGAGCCAAAAATACATAGGCAAGTTCTCGACTTGATGGACTCGTCTTACAGACAACTATCTTTGCATACTTGTCCCTCCCCCCTCTTCGAAACACACCACCAGGATCTTACTAGTTGGTAAGCAACGCACAAGGCTTGCTAACCCACTACGTCCTTTGCTCGAGCTATGAGGAAACCGTGCCCTTGAATTGTATGTAAACACACCAATGTAGCTTATTGAACTGGTTTGATCGAGGCTCGAAGCGGTCTTCGTATAGAATGGTCGATGTCCAGACTCATTGCACATTATATCCTGCGAGCAGTTCATTGCACTCGGTGCGGGGACCATATCTTCCCGTTAACCAAGCGGAACCCCTTTTCGGTACATTTCTCGCAAAGTTGTCCAGTCTGAAGCCAAGAGTCCCTGAGCTTTTTGACTCCAAGACACTCATGATTAGGGTCATTACGTGCGAAGTGACAATATGACTTCAAACGACACACAGAGTGGTTGCATTCAAACCGGAATTCATCGTAGTCGCACATCGTTGACGTTGGGGAAAGCTCTAAAGGGGTTAGCCAATGTGGAGTTCCCAGCTCGTTCGAGAGATCTTGGTTCTGGTAGGTACTCACCCAGGCACTAATTGTCTCTTCTTGCTAGGTGCGATGCTATGTAGGTAGGGTTAGGCGATTGTGTATTTATAGGATGAAGTTTTTATTCTTACCTCGAAACGAATAACAAACGACAGTCTAAAGTATTATAGGAATATAGGGTGATACGGGACAAGAATTGCTCTATACACCTAACTTACGAGCGAAATTTTCGCTTTATAGACTCCACGTTTGTTCTATTATAAGAGGTGGCTAAATACTAGTAACCTTACGATAGAAACAAACACTTTGTCCTAATAACCAAGAGGCAGTTGATTGCGACGACGAGATATACCTTAGGTAGGTCAGCTACCTAATTTCACGCAGCTTGCCTCCACGAAGAGGAAACTCGCATTAGGTTGGCCACAGAAATCCTATTATAATTTCACGTTAAGGACCAGTGCCTCTGATCTGTCATATTTTCCCTTGCTGTGTGCAATCAACGTTTGAAAGCAAGATTATGTGATACTGCTCATGTTTAGTAGTAGTTATATCTGATCGATATTTTAACGAGAGCTTCATGATTCCCTAAAACCCAGCAGAAGCATGAACCTATTAGTCTTAAAGATATTCACGTAACCCTACTGTCGTCGAAGCTGGAAGTTGAGGCTGAGCAAGGGCCCCCTAGTGCACAGTACGTAAAGCCATCCCGACCCCGATCAAAACATAGATGCGTGAAGAGTCCCCTTGGCAGCTGGGTACCTAGTACCTCTAGGAAAAGCGACGGAGATACACCTAACCGTCCCATCCTAGACTGAGGATGGCTTGAAAATGTCAACTACCGCTGCGGCCTAGCGAAATGACTAGTAGCCGGGTAGATCGCCCCGGACACATGGTGTTACCATGGGAAATGGAGCCTCGAAGCAGCGAAGCAGCGAAGCAGTCGTGGAATATCGCCCCTGCTTCGAGCTAACGCTAGGCTTAACGGCGCGGCCCGAAGAACTGTGGGGTTTACTCTAGTTCGAAGCAAACAATCCATCAAAGAGGCATATGAAAATGCAGGTTACGAGCACAACAGCGGATTGTTACCGAGAAAATATTTCCTTAGTGTTTGATATTTAACGCTAGTGACTCTTCGGGAGGGCCTTGAAGATTGTAGAGAAGCCTAGGATAGATTGGATAATTGATATATAATATTGTCGCACAAGAGCTCTAGCTCTTGATGCAAATGCAAATGCAAATGCACATAACCGAGCTCCGTATGCATTGGTGGCAGAGCGCTTTGTCCTTGTACCACCTCTTGGTTGGTAGGCTCGATGTCGATGAATGGGAACTGTAGGTATGACCAATTTAGAGAATCCATGACCAGTGTTTGATTGGAATTAGCAGGTATCGAGGTAACTAACCAGGAATCCAGATGGCGCCTCTTATAGATGGTAGTTACTATCAACAAGGTCCCCAATTACTTCAGCAAGAGAAGTTCAGAAACGACTTCTTAGTTGTCTCATGAATATAATCTACCTAGGCAGGTAATACCTTGGAGAGTTGGAACCCACCTACTAGGTAGGTATGATCAGCTCGCGCAGTTTGATGGGAAATCATTTCTAACTTCCAAGCTATTAACACTGTGAATTAGGTATTCTAGTATCATTAACACAGGCAGCACGGGATACCTTAAATGAAGCTTTAAAAATTGGTGAGTCAATGAAGACACTATGCCTACCTAGTACCTAGGTAGGTAAGCACCTCCGTACCTTTAATTCAGTAGGTAATCAATTGATGGCTGCCCGCGATCTGTGTGGTTTATGACGTATCGTTCCTTTCGCCACAGGATTGATACTTGACAGGTACATAGGTACATGGATATCTTACCTGTAACCTTGAACATTTCACTCGCACACCGAAAATTTATGGAACCTCCTACCTACGGGGTATGTACATACATAGGTATTTTATTGCTGTGGCTATGCATGCTTAGATAGGCAGATACTTACATTAAATACTAGTCTGGAGAGGGCTATCAAGTACCATTCTATCTAGGTATTACTTAGATGCCGCCTTGCATTAGCAATTGTGCATTTGTCCGCCTCACTTTCCTTTTACCATTTAGGCCGTGCCTAGGCCGTGCCTTGACCGAGAAAAAGACTGATAGCCCTGAAGTCTGATGGTTGCCTTCTCTAAATCATCCATTGCCTTGCACCACCAGCACGCACCGCACACTTTTTTTCTCCCTTCCCATCCCCTCATCTATCAGACATCCCATTTTCTCTCTCTTTTATCCTTTATCTTTAAATCCAACGTCGGGCGCATCTAACGGCAACGATTAGAGACCCTTTTAGGACGATATCCTCTTTGTCGCATGGATCTTTTGGCCCCATTCCTGTCGAGTTTCGGATTCAGTCAAGCTACCTATATTTCCGCTCTTTTGAAGCCTCAAAAGCACCAACGTTTTAATTTTGCTTACTGAACTAGGCGGATGGCCTAGATAGACGGCCTCTACACTATTATCAATCTCACCTCCATATTTACCTCTTGGGTAGCCTACCATACCTAGCTACACTTTCAGGAGGAAATATAACTTGGAATGCTGCCTAACCAAGTTTCAATCTCTTTTTTTCCACTCGTTAGTTAGTCCTTTGATAATACCCATAATTCTCGTCTCAGTTTAGCTTCGTGTTCGCACTTCTTGGAGTTCGATTATACACATTGTGAAAGTAGAAGGCATCCCTATCCTTCGCAGTCCTCTATACTAACTCGTCTGTTAAAGCCTGCCTAAGTTACCTGAGAACACATTGGGATAAGCCAGTTTTCGCTCAAGCCGGCATATTATTCCGCAGTCTGGACGAGTAGCTGCGATTCTGAGCCTCGCAGTCTCATTTTCCTTGCACCATCTCTCTGTTTTCCCATATTAGGAGCCTACGGATATTTGGATTGTTTCATGGAACTTTTCTTAAGATGGCAGATCACCTAGCTTTGACCACTTCCGCATCCTCGGATTCTACGATGGAAGGACATTCCCGGCCCGCGAAGATAGCAACGCTCAGCTTTGCTCATACCCCGAATCTTGCTACCTTGGAGCAAATGAATATGAATCTACCATTTCCCACTGGTCGGAACCCAACCGACGCTTATAAACCCGGGCGGATTGGGAATCGCCTAGCATTATGGTACCATAGGAATGATGGGCCATGGACGCCTCCCGGCCTAACATCTCCCCAAGGTGATCTCAGAAATCCGGCCATCTTAAATAGCCTGAGGGCAAATCCACTTGTTTTCTCTAGCCATTATCGGGAGAGTATAGTATCTTCGGAATGCGATACAATTGCACCGGGAGCAGTGCCCTCTGATTCCGGATATGGAGGGAGTTACGGGGCTAAGCACAGCGTCGCTAACGGCTCTGTCTGCGACGAGTCTCCTGATCGGAACCAAGAGACCCAAAGTCTTGTCGGGCATATAGGTGATCTCAACTTTCAATCATATGGCCGAGACATGATACCCAAAGGTGGAGTGAACCCAGAAACCTCCTGGTCCCAGTCTCACCAATCTCCATCTCCCTCGTCGGTTATTAACCGTCACCTTAACTTCGAGGGTGAGACGTGCGAAATATGCCACAAAGTTTTGAAGACGAAATCCGAGTTCAAGTAAGTCTTGATATTTGATATCTGAGGTTGAAAAGCTCGCCATGGAGAGCTGTCACTGAGACATGTTACCCCCTAGGAAACACAAACAGAGGCATGACAAGCCCTTCAAGTGTAATGTGAAATACTGTACTCGCAGTGTTGGTTTCAGTACGCCGAACGATCTTGATAGACACATAAGGAGCCTACACCCGGAGGAAGACGCCACTGGTAATCGCTATCGATGCCCTATTGGAGCCTGTAAAAATAAGGATAAAATTTGGCCTCGAGCAGATAACTTCCGAGCCCACATGAGACGTGTTCATCAAGAGAATATAAAAGACAATGACTTAGATCAATACTTGTTCAGGTACAGGGTCATTCATTTTACCATACATGAAAAGACGTTTCTAATCACTTTCTACAGGCCAACGACTTCATCCAAGGACTCTTCAGACATAGCTCGCGACAGCGCTGCCCCTGCGTCTGATAGATTTATGTTTCCAGTTGGTTCGGAGAATTTGACATTGCCTCGGCATCCGGTTATTGACCTATCTACTGAAACAAGCCCGATGGAAGGACCAAGCCAAGTTCAGATGGAAGAGACACCACTAATGAACGAATCGAGTGATGAAGGTCGCTCGCATTCCTCCATTACCACTCCCGCTCAAAGGGTACACTCGGAAAGAGACGATGCCTCTCTTGATGAACCCACGGAAATACCCCGAACCCACCCTGTTCAATCTTATCCCACCTTTAATGATGATACCGAATTTGCGAAGCTCGACCAAGTAAATGACAGCGGCTCTAGCCTTGATTCTAGGGAAACGGATTCTAATTTAGCTAGCAATTCGAGTTCCTTAGATCACGACAAGGCAGATGAACTTGAAGAGTCCCAAGGCTCTCCCAGTGGGCCATCATTTGAAAGCACCCGGTCCAACAGACAAGTAGAAGACCTCGCAGATATTGATAATGATTCCAACGCACATCGTAAACCTAGGGGCCTTGATGAAATGACAGGCCTAGACATTACGGATCATGATGTGTTACTGAAGTTTCTCGAAAAGCTCCGAAGCAGCGGTGTACTTGAACAACTTGGCTACAAGAAAGATGAACCACTGGAACAAGAAGTACCGAATCAGGAGCCGGTTCGGAATACCGCTTCTGACCAAGCCTATGTTTGCCCCGAACCCGAATGTCGGAAGAGTTTCGGTCGACGTTGTGAATTGAAGTAAGAAACCGCATTGTCCAACCCCCTCCTAACATGTTCATTTTAGGGGACTAATAACAATGCAGAAAGCATGAGAAACGACACCTGAAACCGTATGGATGTACATTTCCAGACTGCAAAAAAAAGTTTGGTAGTAAAAACGACTGGAAGCGCCATGAAAATAGCCAGCACTATATGCTAGAACACTGGAGGTGTGATGAGAAGCAGACTGGCGATTCGGCTGGTACCTGCGGGAAAGTTCTGCCCCGGCGAGAGCTGTTTACGCAACATTTGGTGACATGCCACCGCATCAAAGACTCGACAATTCTAGAAAGTAAAGTTGAGAGGTGCCGCGTAGGGCGGAACTCCGAGGTTCGTTTTTGGTGTGGTTTCTGTCAGGAAATAGTTGAAGTCAAGAAGGATGGTATAGAAGCCTGGACTGAGCGGTTTAATCACATTGACGATCATTTCAATGGCCGTAACAATCAGGAGAAGAAGGAGATCGGTGACTGGCAAAATGAGTATTCACCTAACAACACAGTTGAGTCTCCAGCCGATGATTCCGAGGACTGCAGCGCCACATCGTCGACGCCAGCTACCTCGGCCAACAGCTCCGACACCTCTGGTCATACCAGGCTTGAGAAGCGGCAGGCTCGTACTACGAAGCAAAAGAGAAAAAGAGACGATGGGTGCGACGAGTCTGCCAAGCGTCACGCAGTAGAAGAGATAGCCAGGTACCATTGTGTATGTGACCCCTATTGTCCCTACGGCCATGCCTCTAACGCGGTTTTAGTGCCAGTGTAACGAAATGATGCCTATAACGAGCAAGCAATGTACCAATATCGCATGTACTCATAGGTGGTGCCTGGATTGTTATTGAATTTATGTGTTAACGTTGCATTACGATAGTGTTGGATTTACTTACGTGGTTATGAATGAAATAAAGTCAAGATATCCCCTTAGGCAAGCTAGGCGTTTGGCACATAGTATGATATATTACCAACAAATCAATCTGCCCTTTCAATATCTTACATCGTGTTCTTAGTTGCATACGTAAAATATGGTAGTCTCTGGTGCGATAATTCGTCTATGGATATGACTGGGCAGGTACCTCCCTTTGTAGAATGTCTCCCTGACCCACTTTCTACGCAACTCACTTTCGACTCTTCGTATGCTGACTGAATTCCACGTGATAATATCCAAGCATAAAGCGCGTATAGGTAAATAGTATCCCTCGTATACGTAAGTTTTTCTTAGGGCATATAAAAGACGGTATAGTTACACAGACGCGAGATACATGTCGGCTAACAACTGGTTCTTAGGGAAGGTCCAGGCTTTGACATTCAGCATTTTGGGGGTTAGTAATTGTTCATAATTCGCCAGGCTCGTTTAGGGGGGGCATGGGGAGATGCGCTTGCTACGTAGAGGGCCGTCAAGGACGAGATACTTGGGCGACTTCCCTAGCGTACGCATGCTACGCGCATCCTACAAATGATGGTAGTGGGAAATAACCGCGCTGCTAGTAGTAAAGAGTTCCATTATAAGTGCCTATCGGGTTTAATTACCTAACCTAGCTGCCGGGGTCTACCTACATATGGTATCACGACGTTGGGAAATAGGGGCTATGGTAAAACTTGTTCTTAAATGTGTGGTAACGACTCCCACTAAAATGCAAAAGAGGGTGGTGTTTCCTACGAAGCCGTGTCACTATAGGGGCTTCTTTACCTTGGGTTAAGCGGTAATTAGCGATACATCCAGGGAGTTAAGCGAGTTTAGGGAAATTCTATGCCAAAGCTTCGTCAGCCATATTGGAGAGCCGGATCTTTCGCCACTCAATCACATTTTCCGGGAGGTATATATAGCGCTTATAAGATGGTACAAAGGATTCACGGAGGAACTCGAGTATCAACAAGACGGCCCGAGAAACATATCGATACCTACTTACTAAGACAGTGTTGGATCTAAGCAGACTCTAGGACGTTTCTAGTACTGATGGACATTCTTCAGTGAAGCTGGCGATTTGTTGGATGTATCATGGTTGTATCGTTGGTACTAACGTTAATCTACCTCAAACACTGACCCTTGACAGCGTTTAATCGGAATGGATACAAGTTCAAGTAAACGCTGAGTGTGGTGTGGAGTCCGTCTGTTCGGATAGCATCATGGAGTTTTCCGTGAGATAACTTGATCAGCACGAAGACGTCGGTATTAATAGGAATCCTACCTCCACTATAGCACATTCGTTGCTAGGTATTATAGCAGTTGGCAACCCCTAGTTGTTTGAAGGTGATCTTTATCAGGCTAGACTCGACAGTCCCAGTTTCTTGTTCGCCCCTGTATAACTGCGGGTAAGACCTAGTAGCTAGCGACCTATTGAAGTTGAGGATCTTTGCTGGCGTTTGGAGTCGTACCTGATGAGATTATCATACTATAAGTAAATTACATTAAATAGATACTTCGCATGCAATATTAATAAGGATACCGTCGGCCAAAGAACTAGTCTACCACCTACGGAGGAAGAGGATGCGGGCGGATAATGAGATTGGGGGCCGGGATCGTAGAGAATTTTGATGTCGCCAATCGTAGGTGGTAATGAGCCAGGGGTAATGTGCATTTTCGAGTCCCAACGGAGAGAAAGGTCGATGATGCTAGTGACGTACTCGCATGCTTCCTACGCATTATGTCTTACAGAAGAAATCAGAAAGGTACGATCATATGTTTATTTGATGGCATTGTCTGCTGTACAGTCACTGTACAGGTACCAATCACGTTCGGGGTCCCTCAGAAAGCTGATGACGGTGGACACTTCGGTACCTAGTAGCTCCCTGTTCCCTGTTATCGAACTGAAGATAGAACTTGGCGTAAAGGTTACTTATCACTTCCAGGGGAGCCATCTACCCATCTCGCAACGTGAGGGAATGTGAGAGTAGATCAAGGTCGGGTGCTGACCCCATGTCTGAGCCACCGAGCCACCGAGCCACCGAGCTCGTGTTACGCGGGTTGGGTGCTTAAAGTAGAAGTCGTCTACGCATGGAGCAGACATTCAATCTCTAACACGGTTACAGATGCAGCATGGGGGCTCAGCTCTTTGAGTTCTGAGCTACGTTCAAACAAGGGTATCTTTTTCTTCAATACGGCATCATGACTGGCCAGCTATTAGAACAAGATGGTGTTGTTGGTTGGCTCTATGTTAATTAATACCGGTATGAGCCTCCGTCCTGCATGGGTGTACTTAGCCAAGTTCCGTGGAAGTCCCGCGGACGTGGAGATCATCGCCGTCTATCTGTTCAAGGACAACTTGGAACGATCCATCTCTTACCTAGTCCTTAGAAAAGAGCGTAACTTTGATGGACTTACCTAAACGCCCAGGTCGCTTTCGGGGGTCCTACACGTGTACGCAGGCCGACAACTCATGCGGCTCTGGCTCTCTTCGGTAAACGATTTGAATTTTTTGACGGTGGGATGAATAGATGAATCAATTGGCCGCCTAGAAATCCAGAGCCCATGTGTCCGCATTTTAGGTGGTTACTTCGTGACACCACCACCGATCTTACTTGCAGCCCCTCCGGCAATTGCAGAATAGGAAAAAAGTAAGAGGAAAAGAAGGAATACAAGTTTGAGATTGGTGCGGTTTCGAGGTCAGCTATCGGCCGGTCGCCTTGTTTGGCTCTAGGTACCGTAGTTGGGTATAGTGTACAAAGTAAGCCTTTGGGTTGCCTTCTTTTTGTGGGGCTGTTTTGTACTCCCACATCCGTACATATTTAACTGTGTACCTACTTGAGTGGTGCGACGTATTATCTAATGCTATAGGATAAGGTAGTGATAATAGTGACGCTCCAAATGTAAAAATAGCCCCCAACTGTGAGTACATTCGGTGACGCACAGCCCACCTGGTGATCCTCGTCCCCTTTGGATGTATACAGGTACCTATCCTTCATGGTGTGGATTCCACCCATCACGCACACAGCCCCCACCAAACCTTAAGAACTTCAGTACCTTAGTTACCTAACAAGCCCTAGTGTAAGTTAGTTTTAGCCTTCCCCGGTCTTCGTTCCCGTCTCCCGTCTCTTGTCAACCCCGTTCCCCCCAACCCCATTTGCCGTGGCGTCTCGCAAGGTTGTCCCCTCAATCGTGTCTTTCATCTTTCGCGCCTCGTTCGTACATCTGACTAGACATGCAAGACAACACTAATATCCAAGATCCCACACCTCGTCATCTCTTCCGTCGTCCGGTAGTAACTACGGGTAGTATCTGCTACAACTGTTATATATTTGTTATGTTCACCGCGCGAGACTTGGAAGTGATGATCATCAGCTAGCGACTTTCACATGTAGGGATAACCATCCCAATCGAACGATACTCATTGGTCCCGCGACGTCGTAGCCGCCAGCGCCTGCATTCAGCTTTCTTTCTTGTTGGTCCGAATCGAGAAGGACGCTAGACAGAGATTGGTCTCAATGGGAGAGGGAGGTGTGGGGGCTGGCCCGAAGCGTTGGTCGGATTTGACGCTCGATGCAAGCAAAATACTATCGGATTACGTGCTCGAGTCTTGGATACCTTGGTCCGCCCGACTTTTGGAAACCGTGACAAGGTTAATGATACATCAGTCCTAACTCAGTCCAGCCCGAGGGCCCTTGTCCTGATTCTTCTCGTCTTCCTGTCCTGGTAGTTAGATGAGGCGGTCAACCTATTGCTGCTATAGCTACAATCCCTAATTTCAATATTCGGTATGGGATCGTCTAAGGTTGCCTCCATACGACACCATTATTCCGTGGTTTTTTGACTGGTCTGTTGCGAACCCGGCCCCCCCCCCTCGGCCAGCTCATCGAGAAGAAAATTTCAGCATTTCCAACAGTAGTCGGGCGACCCTGCAAAGTAATGAAAAGCCAACATCAGGGACTAAGTGATAGCCGGTTTTGTTTATAGGCACCTCTGACGATGTTACTGGACACCTCCTAGATGCAAAGTAGCAACTACGGCAGTGTGCAATATGTTGCACAATCCGATTGCCGTTTGCGGTTATGGGTGGTCTGAATGAATATTCTCTTTCTGCCTTGCTGTTGTCGACTATTGCGCCTAGGTGGACGCCTTAATAATGGACTCGACAAGCCTCTTCAGACATCTCCGCCATTAACGTCGTCGTGTCGAAGAGAGGTTTCTACACATTTACAATCGTTGCGCAATAATACGTTATGTAGTCGATATTATGCTTAAAATTTACGAGGTATGTGTCCCCCTTTTCTTCATTCTATCTCATAATATCGTATCGGGGTTTTGTAAGGTTGTCGCAGGCTTCTCAGGCTACCTCAGCTACCTACCCAGCAGCCTAGGTAACCGGGTACCAAAGTATGCGAGTTACGATGGATCGCGAACTACCTAGTGCACAAGAACCCGTTGGTTCGCGCACAGGATTATTCTATGTACCACACGTAACAGGTACTTCTTCTTGGTCTCGCTCGGCCTTCTCCCACCAACAGCTACGAGATCAACTGGTTCCTCATATGCTCGTAGGCCGGGGTATGCATACCGTGTGGCCCCAGAATACATACCGTCCTGCAATAAACGCTGCAGGGGATTATGCCAAGCAACGAAAATGACCGCAATGGCCTTCAGCCACGCCTCCCCCCCTGCAACGCAATACACCTCCATGATATCTCTTTTGCGGCTCCGCGTGGGTCGCTTCCTTCTGATTTTGAAGGAAGCAGGATGCCCAAAACATGTGCGGCCCATAACACACACGCCCAGGCAGCATATTAGTTAAGTCGATTTCTTCTTTCTCATGGAGTCCTTAATTCTCCTAGAAGCAAGTTGCTTCATACTTCTTGCTTCGCCCCATTGTTGCCTGAGAAGCATGTGTTGTAGTACATGCGAGATCAGGTTTACTTCCATTTCCATAAGTCACACCATTCCCTGAGTTTCTATTTTGCAAGTCCGCCTTGCGAGCTTCTTCCTTTTTGAATATCATCGGCCCCCTTTCTCTTGGTGGTCGCTCCCTAAAAGTTCTCTTCGAGAAGGAGGTCTCGGTTAATACACGACGCCGCAGGATCGTATTTCTAGATTCATCTTTCCTAAGAAGCATCCTAAATAACCACAAAGAGACCTGGCAGCCTGTGTACGCTACTGTTGCCCAATCGATAACCCAGGCCAGGACGCCTTAACAAAGATGGACTACCAACACTTCTCATACTCGGACACTATGCAACTTCCGCTCTACGTGGAAAGTCCGCCAATGGATACTTTGGCTGATGGCATGATTGATCCGGTCCTCAAGCCTTCGACTTCTCCTTGGGCCCCGCAGATGCGGCGTTACCTGTCAGAAAACAACAAACCTTCGCTTTTCGGCTATCAGATGACCGAATCTGCCTTCCCTGATACTGTCACGCGAAGAGATGATGCGATAGCACCACTCCCATCTAGCTTACATCAGCGTCGAGATTCACCCTCGTTTTCTCATACATCATCGACGAGTAGTAGTATGTTAAGCCCACCGGGTGATATTGACTACTACCAAGCAAACTCACCACCAACGCCCCCTGACACGACGTTTATGTCTCCATTCATCAACCATTATGAGAGTACCAACTGTCATGCCCAACTATGCCAGTTCACCGGCCTTGCGGATAACTGCGTGAAACCTATTGATATTAACCCATATCAAGAGACGCCCGAGAGTTACTGCGATGACAATAACCCTAGGGCTGAATTTCCTTCGAGAGGTTACAGTATGTCAAGCGACGATAGTGGCGTCCACACGGAAATGTGCTGTAGAAGAGAGAAGACCGAAATCGTTCAACCAATGAGCCCCGAAGGATTCACCCCGATTGTGAAAGAAGAAATAAACATTCCAGAATCTATTGAGACTTACCCTGCATTCGAATCAGACGACGAAGTGACGTCTAGCGAGGAAGCGCTCCTCTTAAGTATAAAACACGAAGATGCAGAGGACGACGATTATAAACCAAATCAAAGGCAGAAGCGCACAAAGTCCAATGCAGGCCGTCATGCGAGAAACCGCAAGCGACGTAGCAGTTCGGGGGTTTCCCCAGAATTGAAGCGGCCCAAGGTCGAGTTCAGCAACTCCAACACAATCGGAAGATCGACTACTAAACCCATGATTCAAGGGGCAAAGGGCAGTTACTCTTGCACCGAGTGCTCCAAAAAGGTTTTCTTCAAGGATGAGAACAGCCTGCAAAATCACATCAAGAAGCAGCACACTCGACCATTCGTATGTGTCTTCGGTTTCGCAGGTTGCAATTCGACTTTTGCCAGCAAGAATGAATGGAAGCGACATTGTTCTTCGCAGCACCTTGTTTTGAATTATTGGATCTGTCAGCAGGACCAATGCTCCAAGGCTTCGAGCAAATCCTCTCCTGCCCGCCATCGCTCCAATGTCCACTGTTCTCAATACAGCTCCTCAAGTAACCTTCCTCGTGGGACTATCTTCAACCGTAAGGACCTATACACACAGCATCTCCGCCGCATGCACATTCCGCCAAACCTCAAGAAGCAGGTCAAGCAAAGGAAGCCGGCCCCCGAATGGGAAGCCCGCGAACGCATGCACCAAGACGAAGCAAAGAGGACGCGTTGCAGCCTCCCGACACATATGCGATGTCCAGCTTTCGGCTGCGGCGGCCGTTTCGACGGACCAAATGCTTGGGATGATCGAATGGAGCATGTCGCCAAACATCTCGAGAAAGCTGTCACTGGCTCGGAGCAGCCAATCGAATTTGGCGGAAAACATGACAATACCCTCATTGACTGGGCCACGCGCGCCGACATTGCCATTATCGAGAGGGGCGAAAAGGGGAAGTGGAAACTACGCAACCCCCTTAAACCCAGCGACAGCTTGACAGCTGAGGCCAGCATGGACGTAGAGGGGGACGAGGATGCCGAGGGTGAAGAGGTTGATGAGTAAATGGCTCTAACGAGGCACGGTTCGCCTCACAAACCGTTAAAATACCCTTTAATACCGTTGATGGCAATGCAACTAGGCAGGGCAGATATGTATCCCATTGCTTCACGATGTAGACATGCTCAAAGGACGGAATGTTTGGATGGTTCAAGGACTTGTAACGGCTATGGTAAATATTTGGTTGATGGGCATAAATGGAATCGTCAAACTTGACCGCGTTCGTAATTACCTACATAGGGTACAATGATGTTATGATAAGTATGTCAGCTTTCGAAAGCAGCCGCGTGCAAAATTTACAAGATCATCGTGCAGATACACTGCGCCTGGACGGTCTATGGTTGAAACTCGGAGATTGTGCGATCTGAGGTAGGACCTGCATTGGGCAGACAGGCGGGTTTTCTCTAAACCTCAAATTCTTGACCGGTTGAAAGCAGCCACCACGCTCGGTACCGAGATCTACACTGCATGGAAATATTCAGGAAAGAGTGGCTTATTTTGTTCTAGGCTCTCTACCTTGATTGAGTAGGATAGCCGTCTTACTTACATGCGCCCCCATGATGACGATGACAAGTAAGTCGATAACATGTATGTAACCGAACTCAGCGATCATTCGGTAAAGCTTCAGGATATATCCTTTGAATAGATGTCCTTATGTGTACCCAGGCATTCCCTGCCTACCTAGTGTCTGATGCATCCATGCGTATATAGGTATTTTCAAATACCTATTATTTAACCATGTCATCGGTCTTTGCGTTATTCATTTTTTTCTTCTCCTTTTTAAGACTAGAAGATAAATAATGAAGATAAAAATAACCAACAAATGAATAAACTGATCTAGAGTTCAAAATCAATTATCACAAGCCCATCAGTCTTGCTTTGACTTATTTCTAGTATCATCTAACATCGGGGAGCAATTGCATCCCCCGTCTTTGTCTGCCTACTACTTATGTACCTCCCTATCAAACGTAACTTTAGCTCCCGCGAATAGCGCTGGAGACTGTAGCGGCCCCCAAATCTCCACCATTCCTTCGTATTTTGTACTGCTATGTAGGAAGTAAATCCATTGGATGTCTTAGCTACTACCTAGTCACAGCGCTAGCACGTGTACGCTAATAGTTAGGTATCCATGTTTTATAGAGCACTTTGGAAAGTATTTCTACTGTACATACTTTTGCTTTTGATGGATGTATACCTACATTGATCATTAGAATACATATACCTTACGTATATTAATGTGTATACTTTATATTAGATATTAGTAGACTGTTGCACAAAACCTCAGCCGCACTTCTTCAGCATCTATTTCTTCTCCGGTCCTGGAACACGACATATCTATAATTAAAAAAAATTCTCTACCGTAAACTGACGTAACGGCGTCGATCGGGTACATTGAGGGTCTCATCGCGGCTTCGAGATTCCTGTGTAAGGCGGAAGGCGGACCCACAACCCCGGAATGGCTGGTCAAGAGCGAGATCTAGCCGGTGAGGCCTTACAGACATCATTCGCCGATGATGATACCGACTCGTCCACATCAGCTAACGGTACTTTCTCAAATGAGAATATCGACCCTGACGATTCCTTAAGTCAAAGAGACGAGGAAGTGCTTGCTCAATCGACAGCTATTAATGCGCCGGAGATCAGCCCGCATATTTCGGAGGACAATTCTCAATATGACGATTCTAAAGATAAAGGCAAGACTCCCGTGAGGGCCAGTCTATATACTTTTCACAAATCACTCCCTGAAAGAGGAGGGGCTTCTGATGTAAACCTGCAATCGCAGGTACGCGCCACGAGTCCTCCAAGTATACCCAAGAATCCAGGAGCGCCCAGACTCCCTGTAGCATCAAGCATAGGAGCCGTAAATAGGGAAAGTCTCGGTGGCCTCATACTCGAAACTTGCGATCAGCATAGGACCCGACCGTCCTCTTCCAAGTTCACCTCTGGGATATTCGACGTAGAATCTCAAGATGAAAACCATAGGACGACATCACCAAAACCATGTACAAATAGCCGCCAATTCCAAAAACAAGAACAAGAGGTTGAACTAGTCCGCAAATCGGGGTCGGAGCCGGCCAACCCTACATCGACTACAGCTAACCAAAACGCCAGCGAAGGATCAGAAGCACAGCCCTTTCGGCCGCCTCAATACGGGGAACCTGGTTGGGAAAAGTCGGCAGATCGACCTCCAAGGAAGCTTCCTATTCGATTCCAGGATTGCTTAAAGCGCAAATATATTTTCCCCTGGGAGAAGGCTAAAACTTGGGCGGTAAGTGGATTTTCGCTGTTCTCAACCAGCTCGGTGAAGTTGTTATGAACAAGGCCCTCTTCGAATCTTATGCGAGAAACATAACGATAAGGACGTGATCTCGGTATTTATCATTAATATAAGAGCTATCCTTATACCAGAGAGTTAACAACTTAGGCTTTAGGGCATGGAACATCTGATACAAGCTTGCTTCGACCATATAATCGTCCTAGGACCCCACGTAAACGCGGGACACTACGATCTTCTTACTACTTCTCTACCCTCTTCGGCGTCGACTGATGTCGGATCAGAAACAGGGCCCACTGACGTGCCTGTGCAAACCGAAATACCCAGTGGACCTCCGCCCCCGCAAGATCCGACTCCGCCGCCAACTGTTCCATCTACGCCCGCGCAGCAAGACTCATCTATTATCATCTTGCCCGAACTCTGGGAAGATATTGTCGAGCCGGGAATGTCCATCCTCATGCAAATGTGGCGTATGGATGCTCCGCCACCGCCTGCAACAGCGCCAGCACCAACACCAGGTCCACCATTACATCCACCCAGCCCACCGATGTTCCCGGGCCTTGCGGGTGGGGGTGGTCGGGGTCGAGGTCGGGGTCGAGGCATAGGTCGTGGTGGGGGAAGAGGAATGGTCGTTCCGCCGCCTTTCGGAACTCCCGGGTGGGTGTTGGTCGAGCCTCCGAAGCCGAGAGGTAAGACGCGGAAGCGACAAGACGGCCTGTGATGCTGTTGAAACCAGACCCATCATATTCCCCAGCAGGTGTGTATAGCAATCTATGGCGCGTCGAAGGCTTCCCTATGGGTTGCTATGGTTATTTTCACCCACAGCAAGCTTGAAGCCTACGCGGGAATTCTACGAGTTGAGTAACTTGAAAAGTAGGATATATGAACATCCATAGCATTGTGCGTATGGATTATTCGCTTTGGTGGTATTGATGAAGTTAGAACGATAAATCAAGTACCTAAGTACTTAAACACATATAAGGTACCTAATAATCTACCTGAAACCATATTGAGCTGCCTACATTCTAGACTCGTCAAGCTCCGACGTGCCACAGCGCCAGCTAGGTACCTATCTAGGTAAACGGACAAGCATTCCAAGATCTAGGAAGGGTTACAACCCAATTTTGATCAAAACTAGTACTAGGTATGAGAATGAAAACAACCATATCACCCTACTACCTAAGATGTATAAGCCGACCTGTAGAGGCGATATTGCCATGTTGCCCAAAGATCAATGGATTTCACGGTTTTATCAGCATTTTGGAAACAGGAAGTGGCATCATCGTCGGTGAAGTAACTGTCTAGGATGCTGAATGATCTGGTGCCGTGGCTGAACTCGGGTCACTCTCCATCCACTTCGTCAAGATACAACCTCATACTTCCCCTACCTACCTACCTAGTAAATGTGAATCAACACACGATAAAATAGACCAAACCTACCTAGTTATATAAATCTACATGCTAAGATCCTATTCATAACAAGTCAGTGAATCATCGCAAAAATGACAGTTATCGTTCATGAATCAATACAATTATGGCTTATATACATATCTAAGTCGATGCCTATGCTGTCTAGGTAGCCATCTCTCGTCCTTGGTTATAGGTCCTTCCTCGTAGTCTCGATGCCCCACGGCTCGCTCGTTAAACTTGTCTGGCCAGCGCTATTTTCGCAAGTCTGGCGACCGCTCAGAGGGCCCGGCGCGGGCACCTTGGCCTTGGAACCGGGCGCGGCACTCTCTTTCAGCGCCGTGAGCAGCTGCTTGGTAGACTCGGGCGTCAGATCCTCGTAGAAGTCATCATTAATTTGGATCATGGGAGCGTTGACACAGGCGCCCAGGCATTCCACCTCGATGAATGTGAAGAGTCCGTCTGCCGTCGTTTCGCCTTGCTTAATGCCTAGGTGCTCCTTGATCGCCTCCACAATCTTATCGCTACCGCAACCACCGAGTTGGCATGGTGTCTGTTGCAGACAGATCTTGTTAGCAGACAATTGGGTTTGCGATGGCTATCTTGCGCCCCATTTATAGACATTATAATATTCGTATTCGTGTTGTTTAATCCTTTAGTTGGGGGTAGTAGAGCTAGCGAAACAGACAACCCCTCATGCCACTATATTGAAAAGCACGGACTTACCGTAGTGCAAGCTTGAACGAAGAACTTGCCAACAGGCGTCCGGTTGTACATAGTATAGAAGGAAGCGACCTCGTAAACGCGCGTGGGGGGCATCTCGAGGATCCGCGCCACCTCGTTCATGACGGATATGGATGTGAAGCCATGTTGGCGCTGGCCCAAGTCCAACAGCGGCATCACGGCAGCTTTCTTGTACTGGGGAGGGTATCGTTTGAGGATCTCCGCGATCACTTCTTCATTCTGGGCTGAGAACTTAAATGGCAAATCGGGGTTATTATCGGGTGTATTGCGGTGCTGTTATCGTGAATGTTAGCACTCCGAGCTTAAAGTTGAGGCACATTTAGATATCTATTCCAGGTTCTAGAACGATGCTTGGACGGGTACGAGGACTGAAATAGGCGAAGCTAGGTATTAAACTAGCTGGTCGAGTTCCAACTTCCGGAGCACCCGTCTAGACTCGGATTGACCTGGAAGGACGAGATGAGGAGAACATACAACTGCGAGAGTTTCACTTCTCCTAGAGCTACCAGCCGTGAAGGCTCGGAACTGTGGTTGCCGAGGAGCCCGACATATTGAACGAGTAGCCGTTCTGAGGAGGACCGGGGCGAGCTTTGACGCCATAGCGAATGCGATGTAGATTCAATCGAGAGAAAATGGCGAAGCTCGGCTAGTTTATGGGCATTCCGGTCGTGCTGAGGTTTCAATTGACGATGATGAACATTCGAACATTCGGATCCAATCAGATTAATCGTGTTGGTCAAAGAGAGATCCACTAGCGGCTAAATGTCGGTGCTTCGGTTCCCCACTGTTAGATACTTCATACTAGAACACCAGAGCTGCTGCGTTAATTAAATGAATTTTTAGATAAACCTTAACATTTATATACCTACATATGTAGTACGTTGAAGTACCTTACAAGGTGCCTTATAGTCCTACGATGGAAAGTAGATACATGTATCGCACGCGTCGACGAGTAGAATTCCATCGATCTACGGATTACATCATTATCAACAATCAAGCTACCTAGGTACCAAGTATATCATCAAACCATTGCGCTGCGACCAGATAACCGAAGAAATGGCAATAACTAGACAAGAGAGAACCGGGTAGGGCAAAGGTAGGCAACGAAGCTTTTATCCCATCACTCATCAGCGCCATCAACCTTCTTATCTTCGGTGGCCTCCCCATTAGTAGACTTGGCCTCGTCCGCCGCCTTCTCCGCTGGCTTCTCCTCGGCTGGCTCTTCTTTCGCGGCATCATCCCCTTTGCTTTCAGCGACTAGCTTCTTAACGGCGTCTACCGTCGCAGCTGGCCCGCCAGGCTCGGCCAGGAGAACTTTGCCAGTCTTGTCTATGGCAAAGACGCCACGGGTCGTACCCTTAGGCGCCTTCTTGAGCCCAATGGCACCGATCAGAGTGGCGCTGGGGTCACATAGAAGCGGATAAGGTAGGTTCTGCTTGGTTTTGAAAGTTGTGTTTGCCTTAGGCGAATCAGACGAGAGGCCGTAGATGGCGAGACCGCCTTTGGTCAAGGGCTCGTAAGAGTCTCTGAAGAGACAAGCTTGGGTGGTGCCTATAAATCCGGTCAGACTTGGCGAGCGCCACTTTAGTAATGGGGGTGGGATCAAGCTTACAGCCCGGCGTAGAGGCCTTGGGGTATGTGAAGATCACGACTCCAGATTTGCTCTCGTCGACAAGAGCCTTCAGAGTAGTCTTCTTGCCGTCGTTGGTCTCGATCTCGCCACCAAATCCGTCGAGGGCGACGATGTCGCCAACGACGGGCTTTGCGGCTTTAGATGAGCCATTGGCATCGGCAGGCTTGGCAGACTTCGCAGGCTTGCCCTTGACAGTCTCCTTAACTTTGGCGGCTACCTTTGAGACCTTGGTTTGCTTTTTGGTGGGAGGCTCTGGAGCCGGCGCGGGAGCTTTGCGCTTGCGGAGCTCAACCGGCATGGTGTTGTTGCGGGGATCTGGATAATGAAAATGACGGACGGTAAAAACGAATAAAAAAGGTATTCGGGAATAGTCGCTAGATGATGGCGACTTTGGATTTGTAGTTGCGAAGAAATTTCGGGTGAAGGTTGATGAGGAAGTGATGGAAAAGAGGACGAGAGATGGGTGAAGTTGATGGTTGAGGTCGTTGAGGTTGCAGGTAAACAGGAGGTTGCGACGAGATCTGACCAATGAAGAGCTGACTATTGCGACAGCTTTCCCAAGTGCGACAGGGGTGCAAAGATAGTTGTGTCACAGGGATATCTTGCCGCGAAATACATCCAATATGTAATTTCGAATCTATTGCTAATTGCTAATTGCTAATAACGAGGCTAACGTGATCCAGCCAATTCAATGTTCTCAGAGAGTACCAGCGCATGTCGCGTGTGTGGCAGCTGGAGAACCGTGGACGGGAAGCTCCAGGGCTTGAAGACGGGAGGGGAAGGTACCTACCTTTACTGGAAACCGGGCAGATCGTTGAGAGGCCTGTGTGGCGGCTCCAGACGGTGGAGGAAGAACGGGGTATGGGTCACTACGGTAACTTCCCAGCTTCGCTTCCAAGGTTCTTGTGATATCCCTATATTATTGCTTGAGTAGTAAAATAACCTTGGAAATACCTAGGTAGGCACGACATATGCATACATGTACATAGGCATAGTTCGATGTACCAGTACGTACCTATAACGTTCTGGTAGCTTAGTTCAACTTTACAAATCCCAATTGAATTGACGGCAGGTGGCTTCTGTATGGATAATTTTTGCACGGACCTAATAGAAATAAACATCAGCCAGCCCCGTTCAGCCTGCTGATGTTAAAGCTTTTGTTTTTTTAATCTTATTTATACTTGGATATCATGAACAGCATGAGCTGCTCAATGGCTTAATCCAATTACGAAAAGAGAAGCGGATGAGACACGAATCCCCCGGCTTTTACATAATATAATTTCCGTAAGAACCTATGGATTTGCGACCTACTCTTCCAAGACGTTATGTTATGCAGGCATTAGCAAACACACCGTTTTGCTACATCCCTTCTTTAAGTCAGGTATGAACACTAACCATTCTTGATGGTTTATAACTTTTATTACGTGCATTTAATTTTGATGATCATATATAAATCAGCATCCATTTGGTCTACGCGATTTGAAAATCTTAGGTAAGTTACTCGTGGGGCAAGAGAACAATGCCTGGTGTTTGAAGGGCCCCTTTAGGTCCTGCAAGCTTTGCGTATGTACTTCAAATTACAGTAGATGCCGAGGCAATATCGACTAGATGCCAGTCATCTATAGAGCTAGGTGTGTTTTCGCATGATTCTATAATAACTAGCATTTAGAAGGTATGTACCATTTTGAGGAAATGTAGAGAGCAACAGCCACGAGAATAATCAAAGCTAATTCATCAAGCATGCCTGGTACGGAGACGCAGGGATCACGGCCAATATACGCCGATTCGCATCTCTGACATCTACCGAGCAATTATCCTAAGCCCGGCTAACATGTCGGAATGTTAGGTTGCGAGGTGTGAGTATCAAGATATTCGGATATTCTCCTATCACTGCATTTCCGCGAGCTGTCACTTCGCAATCACACTTCTGTGGACTTGCAACCTTGAATAGAATGTCTAACTGCAACTTATCGACCTTCAGCCCGCCTATTCTTGAGGATGTTGTTATCCTCTCAATATCTACGCAGCTAGTGACTAATTATAGTCGCCAGGTCACGCCTGTGTATTATCCCAACCACGACGGCTTGGACGTCAAAAACTCGAGCTTTTGCAATGTTACCGTATCGTACACCCCCTTCCAGCAAAGTGACGTTGTGGGCGTAGAAACATGGCTACCGATCGAGAATTGGAATGGGCGTCTCCAAGCTGCCGGAGGCAGTGGACTCGGCCCGGGCCGATTCGACATGAGCTACGGCAACATGGCAGGGGCTGTCGGTGAAGGGTATGCTACAGTCAGCACGGATGCCGGCATTGCCACCCCTTTGGATCCATACTCGTGGGTATTGGATAGTCCCGGCAAGATCGACGAAGTTTTGGTCCGGCATTGGGGTGGCGATGTCTTGAATGACATGGTACTCAAAATGCCACAGCATACTCAAGAAATATAGTCTAATATTATAGCTAGGCAGTTATTGCGAAGAGTGCCATTCAGGATTTTTATGGAAGACCACCAGAGTATTCCTATTTTAACGGCTGCTCTCAGGGTGGTCGCCAGGGCTTCGATCTTGCCCAAAATCACCCTACTGCATACGATGGAATCGCAGCCTCTGCCCCCGCGATTCACTGGGCTCAATGGGCACCTGCTATGTTCTGGCCACAGTTGTTAATGAATACTATGAACGAATATCCCCATGGCTGCGAGCTGGATTTTCTTACAATTCTGGCGGTGGAAGAATGTGACGGCGACGACGGTATAGTTGATGGTATCATCTCAAATCCCAGAAAGTGCTCATTCGACCCGTTCGCACACGTCGGGATCAACTTCACCTGCTTGGCTGAGGGTAAGTCCATGGAACTGAGTAGAGCTGCAGCGGTCATTGCGAATGCTAGTTGGGCCGGTCCGGCCGATTCTGAGGGGAACTTCATCTGGTATGGGCTAAACTACGGCACCGACCTCAGCGGCGATTTGACGGGCATGGGGATTGCAGCAACAACCTGTAATAATAACACCTGTAAAGGCGATCCAATACCACTTGCGTACCAATGGATCCAACTGTTCGTCGAGAAGGACCCAGACTACGATTACCTTGCTATAACCCGAGGGCACTACGATGAAATAATGCGTACCTCGGGAGCAGAATACGATTCTATTGTCGCAAGCAGCAATCCAAATCTCACCGATTTTTCTAGAGTCGGCGGGAAAATGATAACATATCATGGGCTTGTACGTATTGTTCCCCTTATCCTTTTATTATGACTGAGCTCACTATCTTGGTGGACCGCTATAGTATGACCAGGTCATACCAATACAAGCTACGGAGCAATACTACGAAAATATCGGCAAATTCGTCCCTGACGTTCAGGGGTTCTACCGGTTTTACGAAGTGCCCGGACTTCCACACTGCTTTGGAAATGGACAGCCAACAGCTGTTTTCGATGCCCTGCGGGGATGGGTAGAGAACGGGACAGTGCCTGGCTCCTTGCCTATTATTCTAACAAACGCCCATGGGGAAAAGAATAACAGAATCATATGCCCCTATCCCGAGCGAGATGTCTATAATGAGTGGTGTGGAAACCCGGCGGATGTTGCCTGCTTCACTTGTGCCACTGATTGAATCGGCTAAGTATAATGGAATTCAAACGTTATTTTGAAATTTGATATTATACCATCAATTTTATGAAGAGGTATTGACTGGATGCGCCCTCTACCTTTTTTCTCCCTGTTCTACATGTGACACTTCATCTCTCGGCCATTCTGGGTTCGAACTTTGTCATTCTCATATGTATGCTACCAATATACCAATATAGGATTTTCCATACTTCCAACCTCGACAGTGGAGGGAACAATAGCGAAGGTAAGTGAATCCAAAAGGACCATTAACGATTGTGTTGTTTAGGGCTGTGTAGGCGACCTATTCAATCATTGCCTAGTGTGCGTCCTTCTCCCACCTGATTTATCGTTAGCGGATGCTAGAAACATTTTCAAACGAGGAGCAAGACTCACGCGAAGAGTTCCCTCGTGCGAGATACCATTGGACCAGAACCCGTCAATGGATGGTACCGTCTGGGCCATACTGTCATGGGTTACGAGTAACCAAAAGCCGAATACTCCCTTTGCAAGTACATCCAAGACAGCATAGGCGATAATTTCGCCGTCGACATTTACGCGACGACTTCCATCAGCAATACCCCATACACTAAGAAGAATTAGCGACTTCATTTTCGCCTTATAGATGCATAAGAATGGCGACTTACATTGGGTATGCGGTCCATAGTAAGAGGGTGAAGATGGAAATAGCTCCGAAGAAAGCCCTCGTTTTATTATCCTTCGCAGATACTGCATGGCGTCCTTTATAGCCAACTTGGTAGACGATGTTGAGGTAGGCAATGCATGCGAAGGCATACCATCCCCATGCTGGGGCCTCATCCCCCGATAAGGCGGCAAAAAGACCAGCTAAGATCATGATCACGTCTGAGACGACAGTCACTAAGATGCTTGCGCCGTTAAGGCCAGCAAGAAGAGATAGGTCCAACAGGAGGAGAGGGGTGGTGAGCGACCACTGATACTGTTAGCCGATGATTCCTAACAAGGTAAATTCAGTTGGTATTATAATGCTTACGTCGACGTAACGAGCCCAGTAAATATCACGCTCGACAATCTCCGTGACGGCACCATGCTTTGACCTCCCAGTTACGTAAGAATGAGAGGTTATGCCATCGCCCGTAGCCATGGCATAGTAAGAGAAGAATGCAAAAGTCGTGACCAGAGCTGTTATGACATGGAACAAGCGTTTTTGCTGTGGTAGTTAGTTTTGTATCATTCTCTAGAACGTCTTAATAGATTATTGTTTCTTACCACAGGAACTCTCATAGCCATGATATAGAAGGCTAGTGAGGATAACCCCATTAGAACGCAGACAACCCTAGTAAAGGTTGTGTGAGTAGTGTTATGAAATGGGGAGTTGAGAGGCTACTTACCATAAGGTCCTATGGCCTACGCCGCTAGAAGTTTGATGATATACACGAGGGATATCCGGAATCACAGTCGGCAACGGCATGTGGTTAGTCTCATAGGGGCGTAAATTTGTAGCCACCTGAGTGGCAGCCTCGGAAATCTCTTGGGGAATAATCATAGTGATATCGAGTTCACTGGATACTGAAGGCGGTTAAAAGTGTCAAAACTGAAAGGCCTGGATTATCTAGATATACTGGTATGTAGAAAAGGCACCGTAGCTGACCCAATATCTTGACGAGGGAATGGGAGGAGGATGAAGGAAATGGCATGGAGACATTCGACTTACATACATAATCTAAGGAGCCATGAATAATGTACGGACAATGGTGTCGTCACCTTCTTAAGAACCCAACCAATCAGATGCTAATGTGATACATGAATTAGGCATCCAGCCATGTCCTTGTCTTACCTTGCCGTGAACCTTCTCTTTTATGGTTTTGGATCATATGCTCAAGGTACCTGTACATAGTTCATCTAGCCATTGAGGTACCTACCTACGTACATCTGGAGGTTTTCCGACTATCGGAATAGGGAGTCTAGATCCATTAATATTAAACGGAGTCGAAATGCATCGTATAAGGGCGAGGGGATATAACAAAGATCCATCCAATATCATAATCGAGTATCTACTATTAGACTAAATAGCACTATTCATAAGAGTAAAAACATGAATGGATGCATCCATATCTAAATCTCCAGAGATCTCGGTCCATATAACTTGTAGGTACCTAGGGCTGCTAGGTGGTATTACCCCACCCCCGGATTGGAATAGGTAAGGAAACGTCGATGCCCCGCGGAGCCGCGCCAAATTAGATACAGGAGGTATGTACCTGGCAGAAATGTAAAGAGCCACCGCAACAGACACCAAAATTCGAGGGCTGAGACAAATACCATAGGTACCTAGTACCTACATAGGTATCATAGCTACACCTATTGCCCCGCCTTAAAGTTTCCAAGGCGGCATCCCACGTTCCACGTCCCATTTCCATCCCAAGGCTGCAAACCAACACCAACGACTTACCAAGTTACCAATAACTCAGCTAAGTACAAACACGAAATCTAACATCCTTACGAAATTATTCTCTCGACGCCTTCGTCATCCTGAGCGGCTACCGCCATGGATAAGATCGCATCGACACTCCTGGCATTTCCGCCAGGAGCTAATCTCAACTGCTTCGGCGATAACGCGAGTTACAACGCGAATGTCAAGACTCACGTTACCAATCTCTCTAAGCTGCTTCAAGATCGGAATGCCGACATGATAATCCACGGCCCTGATCTTCTCGAGCTCCTTGACCCGGCAATCAATTCACTTTCCTATCTAGCCGTCCTCCATACTCTCGTCATTCCTGGCGTAGCCGCTTCTGCACCCCGCGATCTTATCCTGGAGAAGTTGGTCTTGTTCCTTGTCACATTTGATGCACGGCAATGTCGATATGCTAGAAGCCATCTGCATGACATCTTTTTTGCTGCTGGGAACGGCCAATACTTACCTGTAAGTCTCCAACTCTACGTCTCCCAATACACCCTGATAAGTACCTTATTAATCGAGCTTCTTAGCCTTCAGCCGCCGTCGAAGCACTCGCGACCGCTATCTTGAGACTCGATCCGACCGGCAGCCTACTCACAACCTCTCATATCCTCCTCGCGAAACTCGCCTACAACACCGACAACATCGAACCTGCCCTGCCAGTCATCGATAAGAATATTGTATTCTTTCCCGGCATGGCCAATTATGGGGAGCCTAAATACCTTTGTGACCTAACTCTCCCACCTCCGGTTTATCTCTCACGAGAGACTGGACTTACAGGTGTTCTTAAGTCCTCTTTAGTACTGGAGTACGACTTACTTCGTGGCATGATGTACTGCTCCAGAAGAGATTGGGCGAAAGCTTACGATGCTTTTGAGCGAGTCGTAGCGTTTCCTACTCGTGAAGGAGGTACAAGCAAGATCATGGCTGAGGCATATAAGAAGTGGATGCTGGTCAGCTTACTCTCCAAGGGAAAGCTCGTTGACCCCCCGCCGTATACAGGGGCTGCAGCAAACAAGCTCTATGGAAGCTTGGGCAAGCCCTACCAAGCGGTTGCGATGCTGTTTGTGACCGACGACGTACAGGCACTGAAGACGGAAGTGGAGAAGAACAACCAGTTGTGGTCAGAAGATGGAAATACAGGACTAGTCCAAGAGGTCCTAGCAGCTTATCAGAAGTGGCGGGTCCTAGGGCTGGAACGGATCTATTCTAAGATCTCGCTCCCCGAAATTCGACAGCAGACAACCAGTGCCGAAACGGGCAAGGTACTTGAGAATGACGAAGACGTAGAGACACTCATCCAGAACATGATAATATCTGGCATGCTGAACGGTGTCGTCGAAAAGAACGACGATGGTACCAATTTCCTTACATTCCTATCTCCTTCCACACTACTTTCGGAAGAGGATTTCGCGAGCGAACTTGCCAGCACGGCGCTGCGATTGAAGCAGCTGCACTCATTCTTCAAGTTAACTAGGGAGCGCTTAGGCACCAGCAAAGAGTATATTAAGCATATCATCAAGGAAGAGAAGCGGGCCGAAAAGAACGAGCCTGACCCTACCCTTGGATTCGATGCCCAAGTTGACGATGAAGACTTGATGGGCGGCATAGTTGCGACAGGCTAAGGATGCTGAGACCACTCGCCGCCCGTTTGATCGGGCGTGAGGGCTAGACTACATCGTCAGCAGCCGATCCCCTGAATAGTGCTCGGTTTCCTTTGGAACTTCTTCATTCAGTGAAGAGCCACTAACCGGGTTGGAAACAGCCGGAACTCACGCTGTCACGATTACTTACTACCTACACATCCCTAGGCGAAGGCGTTCAGAAGGAACATCTGCATCTCTAGGCGGTAATGCCTAGATAATGGTTTGAGAGAAATACCATTCAGCTAAAGATTAGACGATAGCTAGGGCCCATTAAGACTCCCGGTCTGGTTATTACCTAATTATCTAGGTAAATAGTGACGGAGAATCAGGAATAAACACATTGATATCCCATACTGCACTTCGTTGTTCATTACCATGCTATGCCATAACCGCAAATTTCCCGTAGCGCGTAATTTACATTTGACTCGTCCTTGATAAGCACCTCCAGCCTTTAGTATTAGCAGAACCCTATTGCAATGTCGTGAAGGATGCTCCATCAGCAATAAATCTACATAATACAAACGCGAGCATGAGACATCCGGACTAAGATGATCCAGGAGCTAGACGATATATCATTTCACTCCCCATAGCCGAATTTCATACGCCGCAAGCTACCGCTATCACGGAATGATAGCAACTCGAGGAGAGGTTGCGATCGAGTTGAACTCCGAAATAGTGCCTGTGACTACGATCACGAACCAACAGAGAGTTGCTTGATCATATCGGACAGTTTCGCAGCCTCGGCTCGGAAGTCTAGCTGGTTGGCGCTCATTACCTGGTAGCGTACTCTACACATCTCATTAGCTATCAAATCCCTCATTCGCGGGATGGGTTAGACCACGTACCGTTGATTTTCGCCGTACATGTCCATCTTAGCACGGCATCTGAAATACAATTTGGTGCAGTTGGCGGCCTCGAATATGGCGGGGAATCGGTCCTCGTCATTCTCCTTGATTTCCATCAGCTCGTCGGCACTCATACCCATGATGACACGTCCAACGTCGTCGAAGCATGACAGCCACAGTTGGCCAGTATGGTCGTTGACGTTGACGCTCATGATGTATCTGTACTGCGGTCGCGCGTGCACTATATTGCATTTCTCGCACCGCCACGTGCCATCACCTTGGTCGACCACCTTCTTGTTGCAATTCTCGCTGCTACACGCAGGGTAGGCGAAGTTGTCTTGCTTGATATACACAATTGTGGCCTTCAGATTGAAGTAGTCCGTGTTCTCCATTCCAAGATTTTCGTCCTTCACCTGGGAGATGACCTTCGTCTGATCTACACGGCCTGTTGCGGAGCCCATCGACGCCATGGTGTTGTGGGTAGCGAAGTTGCCGGTACGGCCTTGAGAGTCGTACCAGCCCTTCAGGCGATGGGCTTCTTCGATGTCAGGATCAACGGACATGGTGCCAGAGTTGAGCAACGATAGCGATCGCCCACCAAAGTCCGAGACTTTCAGGCCTTTGAAGGCAATAATTGACTCGGGCTGCGTGCTAAAGGAGGTGGCTGTCTTGCCCCATATTGTGACGCGGACGGAGAATTGTGAATCGTCTACTACGGTTAGCTCGCGTTTATCGAACGGTTTGCCACTGCTCTTCGCAATGATCTGAGAGACTTCGTTAACTTCTTTCAGAACACCGACGAGGTCGACAGTGGCATCTTTCTCTACGGACTGAAGTTCCTGGATATTGACAAAATTGAAGCGAACTTGGGGCACGCTGGATTGATCTTCGGCCTTCTCGATGACGGTATCCCGCTCGAATGTGAGTTCGTAGTCATTTGGCAAGTTGGTGAACTGCTTTTTCGCGAGAGAAACACGACACGGGTTGCTGATATAGTAGACTTGACCCTCTTGTAACAAGTCGTAGTACTGGTCGCACTGCTCGTTAAAACCTGTCGCCTTGATCTCGCCACTCTCATCAAGAAGGTTGACAGAGAATAATTTGCCCTCTCCAGATGCCTTGTGCCAAGTCTTGATGTCGGATTTTTGCGACACGCGTGCCTTGATAGTCCATTTGTGCGCATACGGAGAGAGTGCCTCAATTGGGTAAATGACGATGTTCCCGTTGCCATGGGCTGCAGTGCTACCACCTCCACCCATGCGCGACGACATCGGTTCGGATTTGACCGGCGCTGAAGATTCCGTCTTCGCGCCGTAGAAGTTCGTGCCACCAATAGCAGTGTTTGCGGACTCCGATTTAGCTTCGAAGGCTTGAGGCTCGCCGATTCGGTCATGGACACCTAATTCCGAAGCAACGTCAAGGTCGAGGATGATTAAGATGCTATAAAACGTCAACCCCAACCCACAAGCCACGGATCGTACTTCAATACTCACTTCTTCCCTTTGACCATGTTTGCTTGGTATGATTTGACTCGAACGAGAGCTCCCCGAACAAGGGAGCCATCATGAATGACGTGGTTTGCTTCTAGGGATATTGTAAGCACGATAATACTGCCGTCTATCTATGTAATAAACATGATACGTACGAGTCGCCAACATGCATTGAACATAGTTGCGTATATCACTTAAGACGATCCGATAACGTTCAGGCTGTTGACCGGCGGCATTTTGCTGCGCAGCAAGAGGTTTGATCTGCAGGCATTGTAAGACCGGAACTGGAAATCGCTGATCGACGTGATTAGGATCGTTGAAGATGGCACTGAAGCCATAATTAGCATGTCTGTCAGGCAATTCATGCGAATATCATGATATAGTTTACATACTCTAAAGCGCCTTGGGTGACAGCCTGTTGTGCTGAAGCGACCGACATGCTGGGTAGAATTGCGCCTTGTTATATCGCGTCTTTTGTCGAAGGCAAAAAGTTGTGATGTTAGATGTTGAAAAAGGGAAATCATCTAACAAAACGCGTCAGGTCCAAAAGTCGCGTCAAAAGTTAAAGTGGTGGGCGAATGTACCCACTTACCCGTTCCTAACATGGAACTCCCCTCTAATGCGGGGTTCTTTCCTAATTCTGGGCGCCTAGGTACCATTGATTGTACGTAGGGCTCCAAGCTGTGATGAATTCAACCAATCCTTATACGTCATTCTTCAAGAAGTCAGCCCACTTCGTACTACTACGTAGTACCATACCAGCATCAGCTGCATCTACTTCCAGAACTCTACCTGTCTACTTAGGTACATGATTCGTATGCATATTGTCAAACACATCAATCATCTTCATATCTTACCTCATACTCTCCTACATTTATCCTAGTACCTGTCCCCGGAATTCGCTATTTCACCTACGGAGCTGTCGTGACTAAATAGTCTCATAACCATGGCGGAAGAGGACGTCGCAACGAAAGCTCCCGAAAGCGATGCTCAAGAGAACATCATCCCAGGAGATACACCAGCCCAGACTGGTCCAACGATGGGTGAGCACTGTACAAGCGACAGGCCGACTCGTAGGTAACCCTGAATACAATTCCGTGACCAGCATCGACGTTGACGTCGATCGTATAGCTACCGGTCTGGCACCGAAAGGAGAATTAAGGAAACTTGGCGGAGTTGATGTTAGTAATTCTGCAAATCTCATAACCCAACATATTTGCGTCAATGGTATGTTAACAGCGTATTAGATCTACCTTTCGAAGCCGGAGTCCTACCCGACAAATCCTTCGAAACTCCTCCTTCTCCTTTCCAGCGGTACGGGCATCAAATCGACAAACAATCAGATCCAGGCCGATAAGTTCGCAGATGAAGGCTTGTGAGTGTAGTCCTGGATGTCCTATAACGTCTTTGTCCATTCCTCGACGTGTAGATCGTCCTCCGGGTCCATCTAAAATCGCAAGTCAAGTAATACATACTGAACCTAGCTAAAGTGTCACGGTAATGCCCGACCTCTTCGATGGCAACCCGGCGCCGAATTCTTCTATCGCCCCCGAGGCTGAGGCGCAAGGAACATCATTCCTTGACAAGATCAAACTCAAGGCCGCCGAAATTGCAAAGTCGTTTGTGATCGATGAATGGTTAGCACGCCATACCGAAGAGAAGGTCTTGCCAATACTCGAGAAAGTCGTCGATGCCTGTAAGAGCGAGTTTGCCGATGCGGTGGGCAACGGAGGTGGCATTTATGCGGTAGGCTATTGTTTCGGCGGTCGGTACGTTCTGCTTTTAGCTAGTGAACGCAGCCGGGTACAGACCGGTTGGACCGGGGCTCAGAAACCATCCGACGAAGAAGCGGGCGAAGGGGCAAACCCTACAAAGGGCCCGTATATCAAGGCGGGTGCGCTGGCGCATGCGACTCTAGTCTCCCCGGATGATTTCCAAGGACTAAAAGTACCGGTAAGCCTGGTCTGCGTGGAAAGCGATCCCATGTTCCCCGACGAAGTCCGCGAGACGGGAGAAAACATCATGTCCAAGGAGAATGTAGAGCATGAGGTTCAAGTTTATCCCGGCGTCCCCCATGGTTTTGCCGTCATTGGAGATTACGACGACGATAATATCAGAAATGCGCAAGAAACCGCTTTTGAGCAGATGTTAAGATGGGTCAAGGAGCATTAATGACACGGGGTAGGAATAGGTCTGATCACATGGCGTTGTCCGGTTAATGTCTTCAAGATGAGAGGCATAGTAATGATTCAGGTACCTGAAGTTTTCGAGTCCCATAGTTGCGAAGGTTTCGGTCACAAGAAACGAAAGGTATCCTCTAGAATTTTTCTAGTTTACCTCTTTTCTATCTATGGAACAGTGCAGATGATTTTCCCCGTCGTCCTATTTTCCTCCAACAACTGGTGGGCTTTAATAACATCGTCCATTGGCAAAACTGTGTCAATGAGCACTTTCAGTTTGCCACTTTCGAAATGGGGGATATACTCGGCCAGCTTATCCCTCAGCCGACCTTGATAGTCTGCATCCCTGCTCCGTAGTGTGCTACCCTCGAGCCGGATCCGTTTATAGAGCAGCATACTATAATCTACTCCATCAAGCTTCGTACCGCCCATCATACCCAACGTAACCCACCTAGCGTCTCTCGCCGCAACCGTCAGGTTCTTCTGAAAATAGCTCGCGCCGATAAAGTCTACGATAAGATCTACACCCTTACCCCCGGTCACATCAAGAATTTCCTGTGCCCAGTCCTGTGTCTTATAGTTAAAAGCCTTAGTAGCACCGAGCTCGCGCTCGATGAATCGACATTTCTCGTCCGTACCAGCGGTAGCATAGACGGCGCTGGCGCCGCTATCCTTGCTAAGCTGGATGCCGGCGATGCTTACACCGCTGGCCTTTATCGAGGAAAAAGCTGTTAGCTAACAGCAAGAATAGAAGAAATAAACTAGAAGAAGGTGAATCATACGCCGGCATGCCACAAGACAGTCTTACCCGGGGCGAATTCGCCCACGAGATGAAGCGCCTGGGTTGCGGTAATCCACGTCTCAGGGATTCCGGCAGCCATCTCCCAGGTGAAGCTACTAGGCTTGTGCAGCAGCATCTTAGAGCTCACTGCGATGTACTCGGCATAAGCGCCACCGTAGGCAAGGCCAAAGACGGCGTCTCCGATGCGAAAGTCTCCGTGCGGACCGGGCCCGAACGAATCGATTGTCCCGCTAAACTCGACCCCGAGTGTGGCCGGAGCCTGGGGCGGCAACGGATACCGTCCTTCGCGTTGGATGAGGTCCATACGATTCAATCCGAAGGCCTTAACACGCACCAGAGCTTCACCCTCTTTTGGGTCAGGCTTAGGTGTCTGGTGATTAATAAAGAGAGAGGTGGCAGGACCTTTGCCACCTTTAATGTCTATATAGAACCCATTAGTGCTAAATGCTATTGATGCGAAATACGGACATCGATTGCTGTTTACACACCAACGGCTTTCATTACGCTACCCATTTTGTAGTAGAGGTTACTTCGTAGACTTCACCTACGAAAAATCATAGGATTCAAAGCGTAGAAAAGTTTGGTGAATTCGGTAGGCTTTCTCATGAAATTATCTACAATTCTACGATTTGAAATCAACGTCACCTAAAGCTACTTTGTTAGCTTTAGCCAATGACATAGAACCATCTAGACAGTAGTCTATGCCGAATCCCGATTCCGGCATCAGTTAGTAGCCAAATATTTGGAGCTCTAAATGCATCCTAAACATCCACGAAGAAATTGAACATTCAATTTCTTCGAGAAAGAGTTGAATAAAAGGAGCTAGAAAGGATATGTTTAGCGCAAGTATATGTTGACATCTGTGGTAAAGATTGCCCCTAATCATTCGTCTCTACTTCAGCATATTCAACCCATTGCTAACCTACCAAGACAACTCATTCGATAGTATGAATGAGAAGGATGTTTTAATAAATAAATGTCGTTGTCTCGATATTGACAAATCTTGTAAGGTAAATTAGGTATAATCCTACCGTACCCAGGTAGGTAATCAAAATAGACAGCGATGGAACTCTATAAGCCAGCACCTATTCTTCATGATTCCTCTTCCTGTTTGCTAACGGGCGAATTGCTCCGACAGAATTTGTATATTCGGAATAATAAGATACAAAATAGCGACACGCGCAACGCGTTCCAACTAGTAATCTCGCATTATTGAACAAGATCTCGTATGCATTTGATTACCATTGTGGTGGTTGCATTGGCGATCCAACACAGGCATAGCAGAGATTAGATGGTCAGATTGTCCCATGTAAGCTCGATATCCTACCCAGCTTACCGTAGGCATGCATGTCTGTATGTAAAGGCTCGCTAATAATTAACGGGCGTATACTACTTGACTACCCTTGAGGTATGCCGGAACTCTAGAACTTCGCATGCGAGGGGCTAGGATACCCCAGGGACGAGCCTCACCTAGTCCGCTAGTATTGCTAGTTTTGGCACGGTCGTTCTCATTGCGATAGTTGGCGGCGATATCCATAAAAGCTGCATGATTTTGCCGACCTTACAAGCTGCCTCTCATCATGGGCAGATAGGCAGGCAGGCAGACAGACCGACAGACATATCAAGCTACGAGTTAGGAAACTAAGTGTCGCCTCATTTTCTGTCTTAATAAAGACTGGTCGAATCCCATAGGAAGATCATTGAATCAAAATAAGACACCCAGATCGTCTGTAAGTCAGATCCAACCCAAATGGATGTTCATGAATCACAGATGAGATCGGTTACCGCGCAAGAAAGATTGGGTCTAGTGGGCTCAACCCGCAATGATCGGCCCTCTATCCCCTCCATGTAGGGCGATTTCGGCTGGGGCTTTTCGGAAAATTCTGATATTGTTACTTAGTGTAGTAGATACGAGACATCAATATTGAACTACCAGCTGCAGGCCGTGTCTATATACAGTATCACATACTATAAAGCACTATACACTTAACTATGATACTAAGTATTATTAATTCGAACTTCGAAGGATGCGATGAGTATAGTGCAAGACACTGTATAGACACGGCCTACGCCTTCACCTATTTTGACGCCGCTCTAATACATGGATATAATATAACTACCTACCTTATCTGAGATGCTCCACGTCCTCTTAGAGCTGAACATTAAAGTTTTTTTTCTATCCATGCCCTTAGCTCTTGACGATCGGTTGACACGAGGTGCCAATGTGCGTGTAGCGATATCGTCCGATAGCCCACCATGTTCTGCTGCCAGATCTAGAATGGTGAATACTATGTATTAAGGAGCCCTGGCTCTTATCAATGTCATTGTCTGACCGACTTCCAGAAGGCCTTAAGGAAGGATAGCAATTTCCGAAAAGAACCAATCCAGAAATCGAGATTCTGGAGATGGCCGGACGGTTGTCGGCGGCGGCTTGTCATTCAGGGGGTGATTCAGGGGTTAACCCCCGTCGCTACTCCGGACTCGCCTGGAAGGTACGAGCAGCCCTACAAGTAGCAATTGACATTTGTTATCTTGACTAGGTACTCTACCTAGTAGTTAACTGTTAAGCAGCCCAGGCCCTAGGGTATTGGACATTGGATATACCCTATCGTACTTATCATACATAAAATCAATTCCTTCACACGATTAATTTCAAATTAGATGGCTCGAAGCGGCGCCGACACTTTGTCCGATACGGAGTTTAGAGCTGAACTGCTACATCTAGCGTGGAGCCCCTGAACAAGCGACGAGATAAGGCTGGAATTATTATTGCTGTCTTATCCGAATATTTCTTCCCCTTCCCCTTGCCTTTCCCTCCTCAGCTTAGATTCAACCCTGCGAAGGAGATTTGCTCAATTTAACTACCTAAGTGAGCCAAGTGTTGATTATTTTTATCCGTTCGGAGACACGCACCAATCTGCAATTCTTATTTTGGCGTTGGTAAGATTGCGCGCGTTGTTATGCCAAGTTGCTTACGGTGTAAGCCGTCAATTGCCCGCAATTGGCGGTTCCTGCAGAAGCGCAATCTGTTCCTGCGTCTCAGCGCTGCAAGTGGCAAGTGTTAAATGGATCCAACTCAGAGGAGATTTGGAGCAACCGCTCCGCTTTACGAATTTTTCCCATTCCCTCAGCCTCTAAGAAGTTGAGGGTCTACTAAATATTTGTTATCCTGGATGACTTCGAGATATGCCCGGACCAAGCTGCATACCACGCTCCATCGGACTGGTTTAAGGTTAAATTCATCACATGTCGATAACTACGGTACAGGACAGAGAGGTATCACGACAGCACGAGTGCGTTAAAGGCCTACCTTACCGTGATCTGTTTAGCCAAGGGACAAACTACGCTAGTGGCGTTCCAATTTCCGCATCGCCAGACCTGTCGCTGGGCCTATCACCCCGGGCGACTGGCTCTGTTCCTTGCAGGATGCGTCGATGCTACTGTACCTTATACACCACCCCGGTTCCCATCGTCCAACGAGCGGCCAGACCCAAAATAGTCCATCCCGAACTATTGTCCCAAGACCCCATCTCGTATTCCTGTTATGTTACCTGATAATGATTCATCATCCACTTGTACTCAACCATACTAAACACCTCCTCAAGGTACTTACAACTTGATATACCTCAATAAAATCCTAGCAGAAATGTACAACGACCGAGTGAAGGTACTCGCCCCTTTCGGTCGGTATCTTGGGCTCTGTCCGTTTTGGTTCTCAACGGGCGGACAAGTCACAGGAGAGAACCCACACTCCGCCCGAAAAGGGGTGGGTTTGACGTTCATCACTCACTATTGAGTAAATGAACCCCTGGGGGCTCCTTTCTGGGGCGATTTATACACTATCTAACGCGTGTACTATGTGCGTACATAAGAAACATACATATTATGTACAGTATGTATGTACCTACATACACATCAGCTTCTTCTATCCTTCAAGATAGGGGCTTATGATTGGACAACAAAGCGAAATAAGATGAGGAAAAAAATAAATATGGAGAGCAGAGATGGATGGAGACCCAGTCAACACTACCATCCTAGCGCCGCGGACCCAACCCATGGACCGTGTGCAAACCAGGGTTAGGCTATCAACACCTAGGCGCTCATGGGGGAGTTGAAGTTCACGTTGCGTTGTGCTGCTTGTGCAGCCCGGAAGCGACCTTCCCCCATGTTGTTCGTTCTGTATATAAATCGACGCATCCAAGGACCGACAATCCTTCCTCTCTTTCCCTTCCTCACCCACACACATTCTCTGCAAATATCACCCTGACTTTTAGTCAATTTCATTCGTTAACAAGCATACCTAATTGCTCAACTAAACCTAATAATCCTCGACAACTCTAGCTCTCACGAGTCGCCTAATACCAGACAAATCAGTCAAAATGAAGTTCACCATTGCCGCTGTTGCCCTCGCCGCTGGCGTTTCCGCCTCTTACCCGGCTGCCTCTTACTCGGCTGCTCCTAATGCCACCGCCTACACTACCGAGGTTGTGACCTCTTACGAGACCTACTGCCCTGGCCCCACCCAGATCACCTACGGCACCAACACCTACACCGTCACTGAGGTATGATAATGAGTCTTTTGATAGAAGAGATTTACCGCAGCGGCTAACGAGAACTTTGCAGGCCACCACCCTGACCATCACTGACTGCCCTTGCACCATCAGCAAGCCCGTCTTCACGACCTCGTCCGTCGCCTGCACTACTTGGTAAGAGAGTAGTGTATCTTTTCTACAGTGAACAAAACGAGCTAACATCCTCAGCAGCACCAGCGCCCCGGCCTCGCCTGTCTACCCTACCTCGGCCCCGGCTCCCCCGGTCTACCCTAACAGCACCGCTGCCGTCACCACCCCTGCCACCTCTGTCTACCCCACTGGCAGCGTTCCCGGCAGCAGCACCAGCAGCACCCCCAGCACCATCCCCACCGCTGGTGCTGGCAAGGTCGCCGCTCTCTCCGGCGCTGGCCTTGCTGGTCTGCTCGGCCTTGCTGTTGCCGCCCTATAAATCGGCTCCTAGTTTGGCATTCGCGTCTATGACCTACGATTCTCCTTTGTTCGATAGTACCTAATCTCTGGGGGATCGAGAGGAATGCTTTCGACGCTCATGACGGGAAAGCAAGCTGGAGTTGTTAATGGGATGGCGGGAGTGATTTTAGATTCGGACTGTTAGGCGGCTCACGGTGTTCTGCATCGCACTATGGAGTATTATCACGGCCACGCATGCAGGATCTGATTTTGATTCTTGTAATTTCTTGTCTCGGTGTTTCGGGCAAATAATCAATCTCGCCATGGAGGATTACGATGTGTGAGGTCTTCTGGTAGTTGGAATGGTCGTGGAGGTTTCTTGGACGCTGGAGCAGGTTTTCCTGCCGATACTCTTTTGGATGGAGAATTGCTTCGCTTTCGGGAGCCTTTGACAAAATCAAACCATTGCAACCACTTCCGTCCCCGTCACCCAAGAAGTTTTTTCGATTCGTGCTCCTTGCTCCCCTTATTGGCTTCTCCTGTACAAATTCTTTTTCGGGAGTCAATTGTTAAATATTTTTCGCAAGAGTCTACAGTCTTAGCCGGATGTTTTATTGGTCTCTGAACAAGTCCCTCGCGTGTTTTACGGAGTCCTTGTTACGATAGTTCAATGGCAACGCAGACACGGCTGGGAGATCAAGTTTTGGTCTGGCGCCTATAACACTACCTGGTCTTGTTTCTAATGTTGGTGATTCAAGTGATGAAGCCATGATCACAGATGTCTATGAATCTTGATGCTATTAATAGAATTATACCCATTGAACGTGAGAATTTTGATGAAAATTTCGAGCCTCCCTTAGTATTCATTTCAAATTGAGATGTGTAAGACAATATATGTCATGTAGAGAGTACCGTCGAATTGATGGTTCTCGAGTTGCACTGATGCTTATGTCACGCCATTCAATGTCGCCGTACTATATTCACGTTGCGCTTGTGCTTCAGTAATGGTTAATGCCTTGCGCCTTTTAGCCCTTTTCTTAAAGCTGACTGGCAAGACTGGTTGACCGGCTGACATGATAATTTGGTGGCTTGATAAGGAAGAGGCGACTAGCAAGGAGCGCGTTTAGATTGGATCGATAATCGATGATTGCGCAAGCAAACTTGTTGATCACTGACGATCCGATTGTCCAGATGATGGGGCTAAGAGGAAGGGTGTGTACGTACCGAAATGGATGAAGATCACCCTATTTTAGAAGTCTTTGAAGTTACGCAGTTAAACAAGTTTCACTGTGTGAGGTTTATGGCCCCGAGACATCGCAGATGACATTACTGTGTATGTAGGTATGTATGTACCTCTAACTGCGCCATGTGCGCCCCCCCTAATTATGAGCGCAACGTACCAATCAAGCGGTTACCTGCCTATCCGATCTTGCGACGCAACCGTTGCACAACGGCACATTATACATGAGACGACGTTGCGTATGGCTGCGTATGGTAGCGCTATACAGAAGCTTATATTAACCCGACGTCTTAAGATGTCGGTCCGAACGATGCACCATTTTTCAATGTTTGAGCTATTACTCGGATTGGTATCGTCAACCTTTTGACTTTACACCAATGCCAACCTTAATTCCTTCCTATTACATATGTGGGTACGTAGCAGAACTCTACTTCCAGCAATTGTCATACCTATTGGCCGTACCTGCTGCGTGTCCGTCGTCGTGATAAAACATTTAGATGCTATATCTCGTAGTATATAATAATTTTCATTTATAAAACTCACGTACCTGGTAGGTAGGTAGTTTTATCAACCGTGTATTTCGGAAATGCTCCTCACTACCTAGCTAGACATGAGCATATATTTGTCAACTGACAACTCTTGATGGTTCGCCGTGTGTGGTTTCTGATACCCAAACAGGTTTATTCTTGCGGCTCACAGGCCTTGTCAAATACTCACAAAGAACCCTCGTTCGTCGCTGATAACTATATGCTTCTTTGATTGGCTATACCCCGACTTCGACCCTTGACCGTTGTTACTTAAATCGTACCTTATCGGCGAAAACAGCTGACGATCCACATCATGGTTTTCAACCACTATTCCCCTCTCAGTCGAACGTCCATCTCCGATCTCAGACTTCATCGACCCCTCACTTCATATGTCGGCTCATGAAACTCGAACGAACAGTAAACACTATGTCTGATGTTAAAGATACATCGGTGACGGCGCCACCAACTGATACTGAGAAGGCAGCAGAGTATCCATCTAACCAGATCGGTATTGAATCCATGCGCAAACATGTTGACAGCAACGATCCGGACGAAGCCTTGAAACTCGTCAGTGGAGAAGCCATCGTTCTAACACCGGAAGACGAGAAGCAATTGCTGAGAAAGATTGATCTCCATTTGATGCCCCTACTCTGTGTTATCTATGGGTTGAATTACTTGGACAAGACTACTTTATCATACGCTTCCATCATGGGAATTAAAGTAAGATATGACATGCTGAGAATGAGATGGAAATTTGCTAAGACTGTTATTTGCAGACAGACCTCAACTTACAAGGTTAGTCTCGTAAGAATGGATGACATATTTGGACAAAATCTAACTTGTTCGGCATACTTCAAGGTCAGGATTACTCGGTGAGTTATATCTTCTGTCTCACATTTGAAAATGCTAACGTTTTCATAGTGGATAGCGTCTATATTTTACTTCGGTTACCTCTTCTGGGAATGGCCAACAAATCGCCTCCTTCAACGACTACCGTTAGCAAAATATTCAGCTTTCAATGTGATAATGTGGGGTTTAACCCTTTGCTGTCTAGCAGCCGTGAAAAACTTCGGTGGAGCGATGGCGGTAAGGTTCTTCCTCGGTGCTTTTGAGGCAGCTGTTAGCCCCGGTTTCGCCCTTTTCACGTCCCAGTGGTATACCAAAAAGGAGCAGGGCACGAGAGTAGGTTGGTGGTTCAGCTTCAACGGCTGGGGCCAGATCGTAGGGGGCTGCGTAGCTTACGGTATTGCCGTAGGCACTGAGGCTCATCCTATTTCGATCAAGTCATGGCAACTGGTCTTCCTCGTGACTGGTCTATTTACGACATTCATGGGCTTCTTGTTCCTCTATCTCATGCCAGACAGTCAATTGAATGCCCGATTCCTAACGCAACACGAACGCATTATGGCCGTCGAGCGTATCCGTATAAACCAGCAGGGAGTGGGAAACAAGCACTTCAAATGGTACCAGTGCAAAGAAGCATTCACAGACCCCATGATCTGGGCTTTTGTTCTCTTTAGCGTTATTTCCGCGATCCCTAATGGTAAGCTACCTGATCTCCCCCGCATGATGCTGGAAGTTGACGTTCTTTACTAGGCGGAATGTCGAACTACTTTTCGCAACTCATCGTTTCCTTTGGGTTCTCAGAGAACATGTCTCTACTGCTAGGCGTTCCTGGCGGCGCCGTTCAGGTCATCTCCCTCCTCGTTGCCGGTCATTTTGGTGACCGGTTCAAGAACCGCATAGTCGGTCTTCCCTTGCCCATACATTTATACTTCAAGCTAACTATTCCTTTACAGCTATTTGGTGCCGGCGGGGTCCTAGTTTCTGTGCTTGGCCTGTTCCTTATACTTCTCGTACCGCTCAGTAATAGTGCGGGCCGACTTGCAGGTTATTATCTATACCAATGTGTTTCGACCGGGTTTGTTGCCTTGCTTGGTCTGATCTCAACGAATGTGGCAGGTTGGACGAAGAAAACGACAGCTGCGGCGATGTATCTCATTGCCTACTGCGTCGGCAATATTATCGGGCCCCAAGTCTTCCAGTCGAATGATGCACCACGGTACCGCAATGCGAACATAGTCGTCCTTGTGTGTATGTGTGTTTCCTTCGCTATCTTGCTATTCATCAATTTCTGGTGCAAGCGTGAGAATAGAGTAAAAGCAGCTATCCGCGCTACCCCTGGCTATACAAAACTAGACGGACAGGAATTTCTTGATTTGACAGATCGAGAGAACCCTGAGTTTATCTACAGTTTATGAGGTACAGAGGACCGGGAAGGGGCATCAAATTGAGGCTTAGAATATCAACATTGCGAATATTTAGGTAGAAATATGCATATGCTGACCAGACAGGCAGGAGGAGTATTGTGAGATAACTGGTAATATACTGCATATACCTAGATAGTTGTCCAAGTAGTCTCAAAGAAGGCTCAAAATATTACAATTGCTTGATAGTAGAGGTAACTTTCCATTCTTAGATACCTTTATCTAGGCAAGTAATGAGCTGGTTACTACTATCATGGGATGTGCGTCTGGGTTCACTCCAAGATCCCATTTCTGAGTCAGATAGGATCCATGGATGCGTAACATGTTAGTAACGACATAGTTAATTTCAACATCTATTTGACAACATGATCAGCTACATGGCTTATAATCAATGGAATACAACCATCATTAAGTACCTACATATCTCTTGACTGGTTAGCTCGGTACCTAGGTAGGTACCTAGGCATGCACGACACAAGAGACCGAGGAGTTAAGTTAGTGGATGTATTTCTATATCTAACTGTGTCTATGTTTATGTCTAGTCTATGTTTATGTCTAGTCCATGTCTAGTCTATGTCTAGTCTACTTACTCATGTCTATATTCTATAGGTCCCAACATACGCCTTTGAAACAAGAAAACGAGCGAATACAAACAAAGGTACAGGGAATTAAAGAGTGACTAACCACGAACTCGCCGAGCGCCATGGGGAATGTCCGTATCATGTATTCCGACCTCAGCGAATTGAGTACCTAACTTCTTTTCGTACTTCAGCTGCTATTTCAAGTGCTTCCTTTCTAGACTTGGAGAAGACGTTGAAATAAGCTACAAATGTGTTTGCGCCGGTACTTGGATGTGGAATTATCTGTCCCCTTTTCGCAAGACACTCGCAGCGGTTGACTATGGTTTCTATAGTCAGTATAATTCTTACCAAAAAATCCATGAAGATCTGGATAACCGTGCTTATCATCTTGGGAGGTACTCACTGTTTCGTGCCAGGTCTGGTCTGCGGGATATCAGCTCTTCGCAGATATCATCCGAATCAAAGATCCCTTCACACGTTCTATCAAACTCGGCACCGATCAAAACCATCGCACCTGTGTATTGAGCTCCGTTCAGAAATGGGCGGGCCAATGCCTTGACCCGTTCTTTGTCGTTAATAGCCAAGGTCAGCGCAACCCCGAAATAATCAATTCCGTACACGGACTCGACAATGCGACTGGCAGTCAAACCGGGAGGCCGAGGGTTGATTTCCAGGACCCAGGGAGAAGGGGGGCTCGATGTCGCGACTTTGTCGGTGGAGCACAGGTCCACGATGTTACCAACAGGACGGTATTCAACTGATGACTGATCGACTCGGGCCTCCACGTGCATAATTCCACTAGAAAATCCTAGCCGTCGAATAGTCATGCTGATAGCTTTCTGTAACATCTCTAATTCGGTAGACGGCAGTGCGGAGGGGTGAACAAGATAGGTCTCTAAGAAGTTCCCTTGCGAGGCGGGAACTCCTGCATCACCCCTATCCCCTGATTTGGGGAAATCGTCGGAGATCTCGCAGAATACTACTTCACCATCTAGTAGGACGACGTTGACATCGACTTCTGGCCCGTCGCAGTATCTTTCCATCGTAAATGACTTGTAGAAAGTCTTCCGTATCATTTCTACGGCGGAGTGAATCCCTGCCGCGTCATCTACTCGCACAACGCCTTCTGAGTTCAGGCCTAGGCGAGGTTTGAGAATAAGGGGATACTGTAGCTTCTCTCTAGACGCGAAATTCAATGCATCTTCGGCTGTTGAGCCAAAGAAGGGCTCACGACCTTCGAACATAGCCAACCTATACTTGTCGGTCGCAATCTCGTACGATTCGGCTGGTTGGCATGGAAGACCGAGTTGCTGGGCTGCCCGACTAACCGTGGCGAGAAACGGTTCCAAGAAAGCGACGATGCCGTCAACCCTCTTACCGTAAGATCTCACCGTCGCGACGATGTGGTCCGCCATGTCATCACCAGGCGGATTCGACCACCAAGGACCAGCGGGCAAGAGCGCTTCGTACCAATCCGAGTACTCGCTCCTCTCGATCCAACACCCGGGCTTTTCGATGATAACCAGGTCGATTCCAAGAGCGCGAGCTGCGCTACACGCGAATGTAGTCCACGCCCCTGACGAGGGGTCGCGATAGCTGCACCCAACGAGCACAATGCGTTTGCGAGTGGCCGGCGTCGGGATAACCAACGGAATCGACAGTTTATTTTCAAACTCGGCCTCGAATTGCGGAGATACCGTCGAGTTTCCCAACCCTGGTTTCGTCGCTGGAGACGGGTGTCGTAGCAATATCCCCCCTGCTGAAGAGCGAAACAGGTCGGGGAATGCAACCGTGTCCAGGGGTAGGGCGTCCCCGGGGAAATATTGAAGGGGCGTTGAAAAAGATGCCACTTTCTCGACTCCCAGAGCATCCCCGAGACGGAGTGGGATGATATCTGATCTGACAATTACGCCCCTGTGCAGAGGAATAACAAGCCTGACGACTCTATTCCCGGACGACTTTGTAGCTTCGAGACAGCTTAGGAGAAACCGGAATGCTTCCTGTGAACCAAAGGCTTCCGCGCTGGCAAGTTTAGGTTCTTCGTCATTGTCCAGATACCACGGTGAGTCGTCTGCTGGGAATTTCTGAGTTACTAAGCTTCGTGACACCCCGTCACTCGTTGTTATGAGAATGTCGACTATCTGTAACGGCGTGTTGTCGTGTGAACCACATTTAGTAACTTTTGAGATAGACCACTGAGCAGTAACTTATATCTGTCAACACGAGCATCGAGTAGTTTCATTCTGGTTGGTAACTTACAGTGGTTTCCCCAGAATAGAAGTATCTCCTTAGCCATTTTGTAGATGTTCGCTTGATTTCAAAACACACTTGTTGATCTTGCTGCATTCAACATGATAGAATCTCATATTTGCGAATTGATTCAATTTATATGTTTTTCCCTCTAGTATATATCGATCTGGTTTCTATTCACGTTTGAGTCCTAGACTTTTGAGGCTATACATGAATACATGAATTTCCCGTTCGAGAAATGTGTTGCGGTAGAGCTGAGCAACGACTCCATCATACCTAAGTAAGCTGAGTCATTCGCCATGAAACCGCAAGGCAGTTCACAAGCTTTTCTATATGTACAGGACGATAGTTAAAATGGGAGAGCATATTAGTTAGCGGGGCAGAGAAATACGGAGACGCCGCCGTAGTCGAGTCCCCCGTGGGTGCTGTGTCTAAGGCATATTTTTCGCCGCCATATATATCCAAGGCATATGAGCGGATAACCCCCAACCCTCGATGAATTTGATTCTCCCTAATCTGTTATGTTCGAGCGAACAACATTTTGGCACGTGGGATATTACCAATGTGATTGGCAGACCAAAATACCAAAGAGCTTAGACGAAGGGGTGAACAAACCCGTAGGCCCAGCTCTATACCCGAGTCCGGAGATCCTTCGGTGGAGACACGAGCCAGATAATGATGCAAAGAAGGGAACATAGGGCACCTCGAGGGGGTGGTGACTATTGTGACGTCGCCGGAGTCCTAAGTCTCAAAACATTGGACTCGCACTGGCGTGACAGAAGGGATTTGTCGCCGTCATAATCGAAGTTGTTTCCGCTCGATCCGAGGCACCAGGAGTAAAAATAGAGCGTTGGTCTTATTTTCAAAGCTAGAATTTGGATAATGAAATAGTCCTACAGCTTTGCTCTTGCCTCAATTGCTTTATGCGCATCCCCTTTGTGTCTGAAATATTCGGCAACTTTCGACTTTGCGATATCAATCACAGACACGTCCTCAATGGTGGCTGGGTACTGTACTTCATTCTCGAGCTCATCATGAACGGCGTTCTCGACCAATTCTCTCAGAACTCTTCGAAGAGTCTTGCCAGATCGCGTTTTAGGAATCATCCCTTTGCCCTGTATTATACCACCGAGGGTTGCAATACCGCCGATCTGCGTTCGAACTAGGCTTTGTATCTCGTTATATAATACCTCATCTAGTATGGCGGAAATAGGATGTTCGGGAACTGAGAGTATTATAAAGGCGAAAGGAAGCTGGCCTTTCAAGGAGTCCGGAATGCCGACAACACTAGCTTCAGCGACCAGAGGATGGCTTGTTATCGCTTGTTCGATAGAGCCTGCAGCATTTATATTAGTTTAGCTTCTGTAGATGGCAGGGACTGAACATACCAGTAGACAGGCGGTGGCCTGCTGTATTGATAATGTCGTCACTCCGACTCATGATACTGACATAACCGTCGCTATCTATAACCCCGGCGTCTAAGAAGTGTTAGTCAGGCCGTGTGGGTCCACGAGCATCATTGAATAACGTACCGCCGGTGTCAATCCATTTCCCATTGAATCTCTTGAGATAACTACTGTAAAATCTCTCTTCATCATTCCATAGCATTGTGAAACCCGTGGGGCCAAGGGGGATTGCCAAAACAATATTGCCCATTTTGCCTCTTTTCACCTCGTTGCCATCATCGTCCACCACTCTAATATCGAATCCCGGCATCGCCTTGCCAGCACTTCCCGGCTTGACGGGCAGTGGTTTATCCCTTTCGATTTTACCTTCTCTGGGGTTAGCCGCGTGTGGGGCTAGGCTGATGCCCGAAATTGGTGAACCAGATTCTGACGACCACCAATTATCTACTACGGTGGCATCGGAGGCGCCATACTCCCGTATGAGCTCCTGATACATCGTGATTATCGATGGCTCTGACCTTTCTCCAGCAAGGAAAAGCGCTTTTAGACTTCTTAGGCCTCCTTGTGCGCCTATCCGCTTGAGGAATTTGTTTTCCGGGTCATCTCTCTTGATAGCTCTCAAGGCAGCTAATATCATTAGTTCAAGGGTCCAGCGTAGTTCCCTGATGGCACTTACTAGGGGCAGTGAATAAGCTCGTTATTTTGTAATCGCGTACAATGCGCCAAAGCGTTGAGCTGTCTGGTGTTCCCACGGGCTTTCCTTCGAAAAGAACCGTGGCTGCCCCGACAAGGAGAGGTGCGTAGATGATGTAAGAATGTCCTACTACCCAACCAATATCGCTTTGTGTCAAGTCAGTACTCTTTCCAGTTTTGATCTCTTTTTCTCCTTCGTGTACTCACCTCGCTGTAAACATAACATCTCCAGGTCCACGAACACCAAACAGGTAACTTATTGAAAGGTGCAAGCCGACTGCGTGGCCACCTGCTTGGCGAACAACCCCTTTAGGAGAGCCGGTCGTTCCGCTAGTGTAAATGATGTAGATCCCATCAGCAGCACCAACAGGTACGCAACTAGCCCTCACGCCTCTTGCTCTACAGCTCCGTACCATCTTAAACCAATTGCGCTCCCCTGCCAATCTATCCAACGGATTCCACTGTAGTCCATCGCGCTGCCAGACTACGACGCGACTTGGCTTGTGGCTAGAGATTCGAATAGCCTCTGATACCAAAGGTTTGTAGCTCATTGGCGGCTTGGCGCCATCGATTCCACACGAAGCCGTCAGTATGGCCACGGGTCTAGATGCTTCGATGCGTTGGGCCAAGGAAGCAGCGGCAAATCCACCGAATACAACAGTATGGATTGCGCCGAGCCTGTTGATAGCAAGAATACCAATTAAAGCAGCGGGAATCATTGGCACTAGGAGTTGTCAGATAATTTACTATCCTCGTAGAAAGCGGCGATAGAGAAGACTGACTATAAACCAACACAACGTCTCCTTTCTTCACGCCTTCTTCTCTTAGGGCACCAGCCGTTACCTCGACCTCGTCGAGTAGTTGCGCGTAGGTGAGACTCCTTTTCGTCTTGGTAACAGGGCTATCATAGAGAATGGCAGGCATGTCGCCGTTACCGGCAAGAACATGACGGTCAACGCAGTTAAAACATGTTGATATTTCACCGCCCGTGAACCACTCCCAATGGGGATATTCGATCTCCTTTCCGAGTTTCTTCGTTGTCTTGGTCAAGACAGACTTCGGAGATTTGTGCCAGTGAAGTTTCGCGGCATGGTCGGCCCAGAAAGACTCTGGGGTCTCCAGCGAACGCCGATGAATTTCATCTTGTAGATGTTTCATCGTTGCATATTCCCTCGACAATATATGCACTTCTTATACCAGATTCATGTATCTGACATCACCTAGTGAGCGTTTTTGACCCTTTTGGATTTGATACGTGTTGAATACTCACCATGAAAGAACCTCTTGGATGTAATTATAAAATGTTATGTTGACGACTTTCGACCTGCGGTGAAAGGAAACCCCCTGTTTAGTAAGACCGGTAATAAGATTTCCCCGCGGGGAACGATGTTGGCAGTACCTGCATATCTGCATACCTAAGTGACATCCTCGGTAAGCCCTAGCTGACCCCATCGTACCAAGTTGTTAATAACATTGAAGGCTCAAATCTCGAGTGCTATGCAGATATGCACGTATTGGTTCTGATGATGTCATATATGTAGTTGTGCTTCTTCCCAAGCCGAGACGATCAGAATTATACTTAACGATACCGGTTATAGCATATATCCATGTCAGTGGCTTATGCTATTCATAGATGCGTATAATGGAATCCTGATACGGAAAACATCCTACAGCGCGATCTACATGATTTGCACCAAATAAAAGCGGTAGGTATTAATTTTTGATCACACGAAGTACACAAACCAAAAACGCCTGGTGGCGCACCCAGAACCGACCAACCTATGCAATTAATGCTTGATGCCGATGTATCATGCAAAGTAACCACCCACCCGCATGTATTTCATAATGCAATGCCGCAAACCTTAAATGCAACCCGTTCAGCCCGTTGACCATGTCGTATGCTAGAAACATCATGAACTCTTACGCCTAACGGCCCCAAACCTGCCTATTGGGTACTGGACGACTCCGCGGTAGCGTTTGGTTTAGAATATAAGCCGTATACGCTCTGCTGACCTTTGGAGGCGATTTTTAAATTACTGAATTTGGCCTCCGGAAGTCGTTTACCAGCTTTGATGCTTTCGATAACCCATTCCGCGCCCACAAACTTCACTCCGCGGCCACCGACTTTCTGAATTTCTTTCTGTAATTTTCCTCCCGCCAGACCTCCACCGGCACCTGATTCGCCGGCCGATCGGCCTATAATCACATGGGTTACCTGCCGTCGTCCTAGGTTGATGGAAGTTTTAGCGCCGTGTTCCGCAAGCACATACTTCAGCTTATGATCTGAGATCAAAGGATGAGTGCTGCCATTGATGTAGACTACGACGCCATCGAAAATTGCTCCTCTCGATTGCATTTTTCCAGCCTGTCGAGTTTCGTCTTCGTCTTTCCGCCGGGTCGTAAGCTTCTCTTCGGTAGTCAAGTCCCCACGATTTCCAAATTCCTCCCTTTGGCTCGTGTTCTCTATCATCGAAGTAGATGGTGACATGCTCCTCCCCATAGTCCCCGGCTTCACCAGCATGTCTGCGACAGATACTTTGGCGCGTGCCCGTAGTTCAGGCGTGACGAGAGCCTTCAACTTAGGATCCCAGTCTTTCGACCCGGCGCCGACTGTGTCCGATACTCGTTGCCCGCCACCCGGCCCCCCTTTGAATTGGCTCGTAAGCTTTAAGTTCCGGGACTGGCGCCATCCTGTACTTCTCCCCAGGTGGTTGTCGGCGCGCTGGTGGCCGGTAGCTGACGAGTTCCAGGGATCGAATGATTGCCCATATTTGGGGTCCGCGGCTTTGGCTTTGGTTATGGCGTGTTTCGATGTGTTTGATGTCGATGGAGGTAACATGGTAAAGGAAGAAAATCGGTGACACGAAAGTAAGAACGAAAGAAGTTGGGAGTCCAAAACGCGTGATTACTACGTCATTGTGAAGGCGAGGAATAGCTTATTTGCCCACCCTCGCACAATGACCTCTGTTGCTATTTCCTTTGATTGAGACATTCACCCTAAAGTAGGTACGTTCGACTCGACGCTAACGGAAACCCAAAACTGAGCTACTGAGCTGCCGGGCAACACAGCAGAAGACCTGCCGGCAAGTGACACGTGATGCCCCATTTATGTACAACCTAAACTCGACCGTACATTTTACCTTAGGAGAGTAGCAATTTACCTGATCTTGTAGGTGAGCATACATAAGTACATAAGTACTTGAATTAAGCAAGTCGTACCAAGCTAAACTTGCACGAAACCAACATATGCACTTACGTAGTAGAAACCTAGGTACATAATTACATACCAAGTACTCACCTGGGCAGTATCTGGGTAGGTAGGTAATCATAAAAACATAATTCTTCTATCCATACCTGTTCGTCTTCATAATACATACAATACAACAACTAAAAAAAGGCACTCATGCCAAGTCCTCGTTACGATATCTCACAAAAAAGGCTACGAGATTCGCCCGCCGACGGGGACATCATATCACGACATCTGACGGAGGCGCCCAATGAGCCAATCGGGTGCGCCCGTTTCGAAACCAAAGGTCCGAGCCAGACTGGTTTTGGCGCCCAGCGCGGGTTGCAGTCGCAATCGCAGGGACCTTGGTAGGGATGAATGGCTTCATTAGCAGGATGGAGATTGTCAGATTTGAATTGAAGGATTCCAAGTCACGAGGGCGGCAATTCGGTTGGCTGGATGCCACACCATAACTGGGCTTAGCCTTGGTCTGGCCTGACAAAGATGCGACAGGATATCCCATATTAAACAGAGGGAGATAAAGAGAGGGAAAAAAACCATCTGCTTGTCTCGCCATGGGATCGGTCCCGGTACGATTTCCTGTCCCCCGCACATTCATGCAAGTAGCCCACCACATCTCCCGTCATCGTTTCTCATGCAACCCCCTTTCTCGTCACTAGTTTTGGGGAGAAGCTGAGCTGAAGCACGATGTACATATGTATGTATGTAGGTACATACATACCTCTTTGGACCCTAATAGCGTAGGTTATACTGTAGTATAGTTGATGCACATCATTGGACTAGGGGACTTGGCCATGGTCTAACTTGACTGTTCGATATAACAACCCTAACAACCTGAGATGCTGACAGCTCACATTTCATCATGTCATCGGAGGCTGATGATACGCCCCGATTGTCATCTGCACAACGGCCAACCCACAGACGGGAGCTTCTTCCTTGCTTCCCAAATCAAGAATGCATGTACGCAAATACGTATATATGTACATACAGAATCTTTAGCTTAAGAAAGCAGTTAACCACTGCTTACGGGCTTGGATCGAGGCTACGATCCTTTAGGAGCCGGGAACACATACCTTGGATTTATGTACGTATAAAAGTACAGGTATGTATGTATATACATACATACATACATGCCTAGGCTTCGCGGCGCATGCTAGACCCCATGCCAGGCGTTCATGCAGCCTGGCGATTGGGGCCGCTGTCGTTCTTGTCCTGTCTGTATTTGCTATGCTGTGTTGCTTACCCACTTCAGGGTCACAATGGATGGGGTGCCATGATTCAATATTATCGAGTCGGGTTGCATTCCCGACCCGTGCCTCCTCTCTCCTGTGCAGCCGCAGCGTTTTTATGTTTTGCCGGCATGAACAATTGCCACTATTTCGCTGCCTCGACGCGCGAGCTTGCTCTTCCCTCTACCTGCCTCTCCGACCATGTACGTTGTAATGGCCTTCCTGTTGGGTCGTGACCGATATGTGGAGTGTTTGAGAGAAATTGACTTGTGTTTCCGGCGATTGGTGGGCAAAGTCCCGACATGAGGTTACTACCTATGCTTAGAATTGCTCGAGAAGATGGGCTTGCCTAAACTCAGGCCGAGCCCGGCTACGCTACGATCCGGAGTTAATCTTTGCCCCTCAAGATAGAAACGTTGATTCACTCTCATACAGTAATCATCCATTCACCCTTGGCTCTGTTAGACCCTGGATTTCGTTAAGCTAGATAATATTTTTAGCAAATCTAATAAACCACAACAGTGATCCACGGGCAAACCAGGAATTCCAGATCTATTCTGTCTCTAATTTACTTTCACAATAATATAGGAAATCCTACTTATACCTTACTCCATCATGAGTTCCGTTACGAGACGCTTAGGCTGCTAAGGACGGACACAGCGACTTGTAAAAGTTACGGGGAACGATACAATATACTGGTGGGGGTTGACGCTCCCCACAACAATGGGGGTGGCACAATTTTCGATGCGGCATGGGTACCTAGGCCAGATATCGAGTCGAGGCCAGCCTTTAAAATAATCATAATACATAGGGCACACGTACTTACGAAGGGAGGGTATATACAGACAGGCATCAAGAGGATTGTCACTAGGCTACATATGCGGATCATACTTGCTTCTGCTCCCTGCTTGGTTGGCACTTCCTGTGCTGCTGCGGCAGCGGCAGCGGAGGGGGATGCTTCTAATGCGCTTGCTTGACTCTTGCTGCTGGTTACGTGGGGTGGTTGGAAGCTGTAACTTGGAAAAGGGGGGAGGTCGGAGAGCGCAAAAGGGTTCCTGGCTGGTTTGACCATCCCAGGATGAATCATTCTCATATTACCTACGAAAAGAGAAGACCGTGGGAAGAACAACCTCGAATGGCTGACGGACACGGGGCAGAACTAAAGAGGACCTTCCCGCCATGCGATGATCATTGTCCCTTGCACTTACGTATGTGTGTAATATGGGTCGAAAGTGCGGCTTTTTGAAGGCCCTCGGCTATGTTCCGCACCCCGTTTTCTTTGTTTCGCTGCCGACACGATCTTCTGGAAAGAAGTAGTGGAGGAGGATAAGCATTGTCAGCAATAGCGGCAGCGATTGCTTGTCTCTATCCCCTGTCCAGTTTTCCCGCTAGATATGTAAGTGCGGTTATGTGCTGTAGTAGTACGATGCCGCGCCGCACATAAGTATGTATGTACTAGAGGGTACATAATGCTACGTACATAACAATACCTATTATCTATGTAAGCATCCACGACATCGCAAGTAGTTAGAAGTGACCCTTCACTACTTAATAAGTAGGAATATAGTACAGGGTATGGCCCACGGTGCATGCACGATGTAAGATTGATTTTCAGATCAACGGTGGCCCCCTTGAGAGATAAAGATATATGAGTTCTTACATGTACCATGTATTACTTATACATATCTCGAATATCTACGTAGTAATAGGATTCGAGCTCGACGATGAACGAGAATAGAGATAATTACCATACAGGCGAATCCGTCGAAATCCCTGCCGGCGATCACATTTTATTCATTGTTAAGCTAGGAGTTCGCTCGAGGGCTAGATAAACTTAGATATTTCTTGCGGAGATCGACCTTTCCGTATTTGATACATAACTGTACTGCGACTAGAAGGTAGCCATGCAAGAAAGAAGCGCGCAGGACTGGGGATGGGGTCCGTCGAACCGCTATGTCTTCCTACATCAAGTATTGTATTATACCATGTACAGTACGACGGCTTGTGCTACACGCGTAACAAGGCATTGTTAACTAGATAATTCGAATTCTTGGTCCGGTTGCTCTTGTGACCGCTATATGCATATGGCATCAAGGAAGTGCTTGTGAGCAGGGACGAGAAGGGTAGGTTGAATAGGTAATGATTCTAGGTCTAAACTGGCAGACCGACGAGTTGCTCGGAAAACCTTGTGGACCGGCGTCCCAATCAGATCACACCGGTCAAGATTCGCAGGGCCAAGACCACCTCGAAGAGACGAGATTTCAAGACTATTTGCTTCAGACCAGCCACCGCCACGTGAAAGCCATGACATGGCATTGAAATCGCTAGGACGGGCCACCACTTGGATAATGGTAATGGATGAGAAAAGACCCTGTATCCAAAGTTCCAAGAGAGCAAGAAAATGGCGAAACCAATAACCGGCGATCATCGGACAAGCGCGATGGAGCATCGGCAAGGATTTGCGGCGACAAGGATGAGATGTGAGAGTGGAGGTCAAGAAGAGAGGGGTGTTTGGTTAAGATCTGGACATGGACATGGACCTCCTGGCGAAAGAGCGGTGAGAGACAGCTGTAGTAACCACAAGTAGAAAGAAGCTTGGCCTATCGTTTTATCGGGTGTTTGAATATTTCTTCGTACGGTGTGGCTATTAATTACCTAAGTAGCATTAGAGGTTCTGCAGACGTTAACAATTCACCATCTATATTAGCGATATTGTTATAATATTGTTATATTGTTCGAAACTATTTAGCTAGAACAGGCAAAGCTGTAAGCTACGACAATGGTCTTGCTGACCGTAGAGTTTACAATTCAATGTTAACTTGATGAGTATACTCCTTGGAAATAGGGCTAGTAGGGCGGCGTTATTAGAGTGAACCCCATGCGGATTACTAGCAGTTCTATTATAAAACATGACCATTATTATTTGAAAGATTCGAGAAGAGTGTGTTGGAGCTATCTTAGTCTAGTTTAACCACGTTCTAATTTTCCATTGGACCAGCAAATGGTCGGCTTAGAAAACACGTTATAGCTATTGGACTTTGTATGAAAGCTTGTAAGCTCGATGCCATCTCGATGCCATAGCTCAACGCCTCCCCGACCTTTGTAGCTTTGTGACCACTCTTGTCGAGCTTGTGGTTCTCTTCGACCACTTGCCAATCTTAGGTAAGCCACACTGGCCTGCTATGGGAACGTGAGCGCCTTCTCACACTGATAGCGAACAGGTACATGGCTCTATAAGAGGTCCATAATACTTAATAGATAGTAATTCAAACTAACCTGCAAACCACTATGTAAAGAACTGTACAGTTTCTATAATATAGGGTATAGGAACAATAAAATTCTCAATAGCAATCGTGAAGTGCTATCGGTCACAATCTCAAGGAGGGCCGCCGCTGAAATTTCCGACTGGCTGGCTAGAATCTATGAATAAAAACGGCAGGCTTTTCTTCGGCTCGGTGATCGCCAAAGAACTCTTCAATAGCTTCGGTCACTCCACTGGTGCTTGTTTAGTCTAGTCTATCGCTCTAAGATTCTTCGCTTCCCCTCACAGCAAAATCTAATGGTGGTGCTTGGTCGACGTGGACATGCTTGATTGGTCGCGAGAAAAAGACGGTGGGGAGATCTGGGTCAACACCATGGGAGGGTCGCAAAAGGGGCTTGCGCAACACAAAGCTAATACTGCGTAGAACTGGTCCTAGAATACCCCCTCTGGATGTGACGAGGTGGAAACTCTTTTAGCAGCTACCTACCTAGGTAGATAACGGCGAAGCTCCAAGGCCGATAACACCGACGAGATTTCAAAGGTTCTTCTGGATTCCGACCTGGATCAATCAGCTAATCTTCGCGATTCGGATGACATGTTCATAATTCACGT